CTACAATTGAAGTTTAAAAATTGTTGAGTTTTATTTTTTTAGTTTTTTGAGACAGGGTCTCACTACATAGGCTGGCTGGCCTGAAACTCACTGTGTAGACCAGGCTGGCCTCAAACTTGTATTGATCTTTCTGCCTCTGCCTCCCAAGTGCTTGGATTACAGGTGTGTGCTACCACACCTACCCTGTGATTGAGGGTTTTTTTTTTTTGTTGGGTTTTTTTGTTTGTTTGTTTTTCATTTTTGTCTTTTTGAGACAGGGTCTCCCTGTAGCATTGGCTGGCCTGGAACTCATTTTGTAGATCAGGCTGGCCTCGAACTCACAGAGATCCACCTGCCTCTGCCTCCTGAGTGCTGGGATTAAAGGCTTGTGCCACCATGCCCAGCTGTGATTGAGGTTTTTTTTTTTGTTTTTTGGGTTTTTTTTTTAATAATTTATTGAGAATTTCATACAGGCATAAAGAAGCAGTTCAAGATGGCAGTAGCTCTTGTCAGGCTTATGGAAACTCTACTGGGTCTTGTTTAGCTTTAAGTCAAAACCACAGGGTTTTTTTCACCTTAGAAGCACTCATAAGCTCTGTCTTCCTGTCCTATACACGTATGACTTGTTTTTTAATCTCAGTGCTGGATTTACTAAACTACACCATTGTATATGTATATGCTGAGTCTTGTGCTGGATACTTTGATGTGAGTGAGTGGAACCTCCTAGAAGTTGAGGATGGCCTTGTCTGTTTACAGATAGTGCAAGCTGAGAGGAATACTCAGCTACCCGACTATCAGATGGCACAGTCAGGATTCCCACTTAGGCCGGAAGCCTCTTGCTCTTAAGCATTACACATACCAATTTTTATTTTATTTTTATTTTTATTTTTTTTTAAATATTTTATTATTTTTATTTTTTATGTGTATGAGTGTATTGTCTGCCTGTACATGAGAGTGCCTGTGTCGTGCAATGCTGTGGAGGTCAGAAGAGGGCTTCGGATTCCCCTGGAACTGGAGTTAAGGACGGTTTGTGGCCGCCATGTGGGTGCTGGGTCATCTGAAGAGCAATCGGTGCTCTTAACCACTGAGCCATCTCTCCAGCCCCATACACATACCAATTTTTAAAGATCTCTTTGAAGTCTAATACAAACACACTGTGTGGTTTTGTGACATTGGTACCTTCGAGGTCTTTTGGGCTGGTTCTCAGACTTGAGTGTGGCTGATAGATCAAACTGTGTTTTTCAGCCAGTAGGGTACAGAACCAATTTCATGGGCCATGTTCAGCATTTTAATAACTAAAATAGGAAGCTGTGCATGGTGGTACATATCTGTAATCCCAGCAGTCAGGAGACTGAGGCAGGAGGATCATAAATTCCAGGCCAGCTTGGACTGCATAGTGAGACCCTATCCCAAAAAGAAAGAAAATAAAAAAGTAAAGTAAAATGGAAAAAAAAAGGCAGCAAAGCTTTATTAGATGTAATAAGGACAAATTTTGTTTTAGGAAACTTACTATATGGCACAAGACCTGGATATGAGTGTGCGTGCATGCATGTGTGCATGCGTGTGTGTGCTTTAAATTGTTTTGTTTTTGTTTATAGTGCTAGAGATCAAACCTAGAGTTGGGCAGAGGCAAGTACTCTACCACTGAGCTACACCCCCAGCCCTGAAGTAAATTATTTTTATAACTATTGTTCAAATGTCTTGAATACCACTGCTCTAAAGGGAAAAAAACTGTCTTGGAATTGACTTTGATTCATTTCATTATGACGTTACAGCTTAATTTTGTATGAGCATAAATGTGTCACTTTGTTGATTTAGCTCCTATAAAGTTGACAAAAAAACTACCAAAAAAAAAAAAAAAAAAAAAAGAGAGAGAGAGAAAAGCCAGCAAAATTCAAATCGATAATGTTCTGGGAGGCTGATGTTTGACAGAAACACAGCCACATGTTCAGTGCAGGTGCACCCTCCCTCTAGGTCCCTTAAGTTCTGCACGTCCACCCAGCAGTGCACCAGTGCCAAGCAACGTAGGCCTCCCATTGCTTCTGAAGAGAAGTTGCCCTTCACTCTGCAGAGTTGTATTATGAATTGGATGTGAGGAACCAAGCTGTCCTAATAAGCCCCTACAGCTATGGTGGTGTGCTGATAAGCACACCAGACCTGCAGTGTGTAGAATGTGGCTGGGCAAGTCTCCAGGGATCTGTGGCATGTGTTCATTTTTGAAAAGATAGTGCCTTGCTGGGTGTTGTGGCTATTATCCTGGCTGAGGATGAGGCAGGAGGATTGCTGTGATTTCAAGGTGCCTAGGTAGGCTACATAGTGAATTTCAGGCCAGTGAAATTTAGTTACAATGTGAGACTCTGTGACTAAATAAAGATAAAGTAAAAGGACAATCACCATAATGAAAACATGACGATAAACAGGCCTTATGGGCCTTGGTCCTGTGCCCCACCCCAAGCTGGAGACACCCCTGCTCATTTTGTCCACCAAACTTGTCATTCAAGTAGAAGCATATTGCACTTGGCTCCCAAATTACGTTAATCATCCCACCCCATCTCTCCCCCTCTTATTCATAAGAGTATTATGAAAACCTCAATGTCGCTTGAAACAAAATGCATATGTATGCTGCTTTTGATGTGTCCATCTGAAACTTTAAAAAGCAAACAGCCATGCCCCGCAGAACTAGTTTTTGCAACTGCACACCTATCTCCTGTGGTTGTTCCTTCCTTTCCTCAGTTACTACAGTGATTTTTGCCAAGATCTTGGTCTGTAATATCCCAGGTTTACATGACCACACTTGTCTGAATTGTCCTCTGGGTCCTTATCGTTGGCAGTCACCCTTACTCTGTAGTACTCTCATGGACTTGGGGCCTGGTGACCATTGACAGCTGTGCATTTTGTCCTGAGCAGCCTGTCAGTTTTCTTTTTCCCCTTTATCTTTCCCTATTGGAGAATCATGCTCCCTCTGAGGCCTGGCAAAAGGCAAATGGCCGTGTTCACTCCCAACCTCTGTCCTTACCAGATTCCCGATACAGGCTCAGTTCCTAAGCCTTTTTGTCTCTTTGAGTCTCCTAAATAATCTCCCTCCTGTTTGTACTTCCTGGAATTTGTTTCCCAGAGGAGGATGCAAGCTCTGCCCTTTCTACTTTGCTTTCATGATTTTTGAATGAGACAGCAAAGAGTCTTTTACCCTAAGCTCCTGTGACTTCCATTTTTTTGTTTACCTTTTAAATCAGACAAGTGTAGGGTAGAGAGTTCCCTCATCTTTATTTTCCACTATTAAAAAAAAAAAAGAAGAAAGTAATTAGGCCTAGTAGTACACACCTGTAATCCTAGCACCTAGGAGGCTGAGTAGGACTACATGAGTTCCAGGCCAGCCTGGGCTACAGTGTAAGACCTTGTCTCAACAGTCAATCAATAACAAGAAGGTACAGTTGTGCCTAGGTATGCAGAGAGGATTGGTTCTAGGGCCCTCTGGAGATAACAAAATCCGTAGATGCTCAATACCTTTATATATAAAATGATGTTTTTGTATATAAGCTACCCACCCTCTCTATACTTTAAATCATCTTCAGATTACTTGTAATCTGAAGCATTTACACATTGTAAATGCTTTTTGTTAAATAGTTTTTATTAGAGAATAATGATAAAGTGTGCACATGTTTAGTATGGATATAATAATTTAAAAAATATATTTAAAAATTTTCATTTTATGTGGATGAATGTTTACCTACATGCATTTATGTGCATCTTTATGTGCAGTGCCTGAGGAGGCCAGAAGAGGGTGTCAGATAGCTTAGAACTGGAGTGGATGGTTGTTCATAACCATGTGGGTGCTGGGAACCGAACCCAGGTCCTCTGCAACAACAGCCAGTGTCTTAACTGCTGAGCCATCTCTCCAGCCCTAAAAAATATATTTGATACATGGTTGGTTAAATTGTGGATTAAAAAAAAAAAACAACCTGGGGATATAGAGGCCAACTGTCTACTCATTGTGGGATAATGAGAAAGTACTGAAAATAGGAGAAAAATTCTCTGCCAAGCAAAATTCTGTTAGGAGATAATGGCTTTTAACATTTTAACTTTTTAAAAAAATTATTATTTTTATTTTATGTGTATGCATGTATTATCTGCATGTAAGTGAGTACACCTGTGTCATGCAATGCCCACGGAGGTCAGAAGAGACTGTCAGATCCCCTGGAACTGGAGTTACAGACAATCGTTAGTTGCCATGTGGGTGCTGGAACTTGAACCCAGGTCTTCTGCAAGAACAACCAGTGTTCTTAACCACTGAGCTCTCTCTCCAGCCCAAGATTTTAGCTTTTTAAGACTTTTTCCTACTTGATTGTATATATAAAAACTGTATATACACACAAAAAATAACTCAATGTTCATTCTTCTGTATTCAGTTATTAGCTCTGCCTATCCTTGATGGTACCTATGGGTCATATTAGTTGTCCTGTGTAAAAGTAAATTCATTTAAAGGAATTACCCATATGCTAACTGATCCCAGGGCCTGTGCCTTTTGGTGAAGGCTGAGCATATAGCCTTGGAGAGGAGGGGTGTATCCTGTCAGGAACGCTGGCCTAGCCTTTCCTAGCTTCCATACTTGTTTGCATCTGGCTATGCTGGAGTCAGCAAATAGCTTGAGCTAGAACAAGCCTGGCTAGGGGCCAACATAGAGAGATTCAGAGAGCCGGCAGTACCCAGAAGGGGGCGCTCCAGACCTGCCACAGCCTTGTTCCTGAGCCAGACTTCATAGCATCTGGAGACTCCCAGTTCTTCTGGGCTTAGGTAGCTAGGGGGACATATGGTGAAGGAAGTCCTGGCTGTCCTCAGAGGCTTGGTTAGATGAGTGTGAGCAAAGGAGGTCACCCCTGACAAGTGTGGGGCTATGACTAGAGCTGAGGCACAAGGGAAAAGCTGTTAATCTCTCTGGGAGAAGAAGCAACACAGGCAGAGAGAAAAGCTGAGGCTTGGGGTCTTCAGGTGTCTTACGTATTACTCCATCACTTTTCTCCCAGCAGATCCACAGACGAGCATGGCTGCCACTGCTGCTGTCAGTCCCAGTGACTACCTGCAGCCTGCCACCGCTACTACCCAGGCAAGTGAGCATGTGCTCTGAAGGCGGGGGACTCAGCAGCCTGGGTGGACTCACTGAAATAGATTTTCCACCATACTCAGAACCCTTTCAGTCTCACTGCAAACAACCTAGATCATGATACCCAGGAAGGTTCAGTTATTCACATTTTCTTAACTAAGACATGGTCATTTGCCTAAGATACCACAACTGTCAGGCAGAAAGACCAGAATTAAACTTAGCATTCCTGGGGCTGGGAAGGTCGCTCATTTGGTAAAGTGCTTGCTACACAGCATGAGGGCCCAAGTTTGATCCCTGGTACATGTTAAAAGCTGGGTATAGTAGTACATTTCTGTAATCCTAGCCCTGGAGAGATAGACAGAAGGATCCCTGAAGCTCACTGGCCAATTAGTCTTGCCCAATTGATGAGTTTCAGATTCAGTGAGACGGTGTCTCAAAAAATAAGGTGGAGAGTGATAGAGGAAGACACTTGACATCCTCCTCTGGTCTCCACATGCATGAACCCAACTGTGCATGCACACACCCCCCAAACATGTATACATGCATATACTACACACAGATGCACAACACGCATACTCTAAAACAGGAACACAGTATTTCTTCCATCAGATCCCACCGCCCCTGAGAGGAAGCAGGCTCTTTTCATTGTAGCCCTCCCTAGTCTAGGAAGTGGCACCTGCTAAGCACCAGAAAACACCTTACCAAGTGTTTGTGTTGTCCACCCTCTCCCATGGCTTCTTTTTCCTTTTTATGGCAAGCTCATAGAACTCCATCTGAGATCTGGGGATACATCACTGTCCCTGTTGAAGCAAGGGCAGTGGGAGAAGGGTCAGTTCATGCTATTGGTTCACCATGTCCAGTGCTGCTTCTGGGGAGTTTCTTCCTGAGAGATGTTCCTCATCTTTTTAACCTGCTTCATGGAGAAGCCAGCAGGAGCCACTAAAAGGGAGGCTGCTGGCGATAGTCTGCCACAGGGGTGGGGAAGAGCTCACTGAGAGCCGTGGAGGTGGTCCCCAGGCAGACAGACAGCTGGCCATGGTCTTCCGGTCTCACTCCTTTCCTCTGTTGATTTTTACAGGACTCCCAGCCATCTCCTTTGGCCCTGCTTGCCGCAACATGTAGCAAAATTGGCCCACCAGCTGTTGAAGCTGCAGTAACACCTCCTGCTCCCCCACAGCCCACACCACGGAAACTAGTCCCCATCAAACCTGCCCCTCTCCCTCTCAGTCCTGGAAAGAATAGCTTTGGCATCTTGTCTTCTAAAGGAAACATACTTCAGATTCAGGGCTCCCAGCTGAGTACCTCCTATCCTGGAGGGCAGCTGGTGTTTGCTATCCAGAACCCCACCATGATCAACAAAGGGAGCCGATCGAATGCCAGTATCCAGTACCAGGCGGTTCCTCAAATTCAAGCAAGCAGTTCCCAGGCCATACAGGTGCAGCCCAATCTCACCAACCAGATCCAGATCATCCCTGGCACCAACCAAGCCATCATCACCCCTTCATCATCCAGCCACAAGCCTGTCCCCATCAAGCCAGCCCCTGTCCAGAAATCAAGTACAACTACCACCCCTGTGCAGAGTGGGGCCAACGTGGTGAAGCTGACAGGTGGAGGTGGCAACGTGACGCTCACTCTGCCCGTCAGCAACCTGGTAAACACCAGTGATGCTGGGGCCTCTGCTCAGCTCCTCACTGAAAGCCCCCCTACCCCATTGTCTAAGACTAACAAGAAAGCCAGAAAGAAGAGCCTTCCTGTCTCACAGCCATCTGTGGCTGTGGCTGAACAGGTGGAGACAGTGCTGATTGAGACCACAGCCGACAACATCATCCAGGCAGGAAATAACCTGCTGATTGTCCAGAGCCCTGGTGGGGGCCAGCCAGCTGTGGTCCAGCAAGTCCAGGTGGTACCCCCCAAGGCCGAGCAGCAACAGGTGGTGCAGATCCCCCAGCAGGCACTGCGGGTGGTGCAAGCTGCCTCAGCTACCCTCCCCACTGTTCCCCAGAAGCCCTCCCAGAACTTTCAGATCCAGACAGCTGAATCAACACCAACCCAGGTACCACAGCCCCCCTGCTCTGCCTCCCTCTTTTGCTTACCCTTTGGCTTGCTTTTGAAGCTGAGACAAATCATTGCCTGACTTGATCTGTTGGGGTGGGCGGGCAGGAAGTGGCTTCTCCCCAACAAATGGGCTCTCTTCAGGTCTTAGGCCAAGTATTTCTGACCTGTAGAAATCAGATGAAACAAGTATATTTTGGTCTCTTATTTTTTTGGTATCTTTTGGGGCATGACTAGGGAGAAGATGTGTGTGTGCTTCAGTAATAAAGTGTGGGGTTTTTTTTGGTCTTTTTGAGACAGGGTCTTCCTGCAGCCCCAGCTGTCCTGGGACTCACTATGGAGACCAGGCTGGCCTTGAACTCACAGAGATCCACCTGCCTCTGCCTCCCAAGTGCTGGGTCTACAGATGTGCACCACCACACCCGGCAATAAAATGTTTTTTATTGTAAGTTTACAACAGTAGCAAGAGTAGGAAAATTCAAATCAGAACTATAGAATTTGGTGTAAAGTAAGAGATTGATGCAGAAAAACTTGATATTTATTAATTAGAAAAATAACATGAACAGCCTAGTTTTTTGGTATTCTTTGTATTAACATTTTATTTATTAATTTTACTTTATGTGTATGAGTATATCGCTTGCATGTATGTAAATGCACCCGTGTCATGCAGTGCCTGAAGGGGTCAGAAGAGGACCTTGGATTCCCTAGAATTAGAGTTACAGACAGTTGTTACCTACCATGTGGGTACTGGGAACTGAACCAGGGTCCTCTGCAAAAGCAAGCCAGTGCTCTTAACCACTCAGCAGTTTCTTTCCAGCCTCTGTTTTTTGAGACAGGGTGCATCCCATGTTGGCCTGAAACTCATTATACAGCCCAGGCTGACCTCAAACTTAGGATCTTCCTGCTTCAGCTTCTCAGGTGTTTGGATTACAAGTGTGAGCCACCATGCCCACTCAGAATGCATAACATTCTGTTATCAGAGGTCAAAGCTGACCCCATCCATTGTTCTTGTAAATAAAAGTGGGTTTTTTGTTTTGTTTTTTTAAAAAATATTTTATTATTTTTATTTTTATGTGTATGCATGTATTGCCTGCATGTAGGTGAGTACACCCGTGTCGTGCAATGCCCAAGGAGGTCAGAAGAGGCTGTTGGATCCCCTGGAAGTGGAGTTACAGACAGTTGTTAGCGGCCATGTGGGTGCTGGGATTCGAACCCGGGTCTTCTGCAAGAACAACCAGTGTTCTTAACTGCTGAGCCATCTCTCTGGCCCCAAAAGTGTTTTTTGTTTTTCTTTTCTTTTTGTTTGTTTTTTGAGACAAGGCCTTACTATGTAGCCCTGGCTGGCCTAGAACTCACTATATAGACCAGACTGGCTTTGAACTCACTTGCCTCTGTCTCCAGAGTGCTGGGATTAGTAAATAAAGTTTAACTGGAATACTGACACACAGCAGAGTTGAGTTGCTGATGCAGACTATATGGTCTGGAGAACCTAAAATAATTATCTGGATGAACCTTTACACAAAAAGATTGTTGGGGTCAGAGAGATGACTCAGCTGTTAAAGAGTATATTGCTCTTGCTGAGGACCTATAACAGGCAGCTTCTACTGCCTGTAATGCCAGCTCCAGAAGGATAGAGAAGCACCTGTATGCACAGACACACAAATACACATAACTAAAAATAGAAAGAAATAGCTTTGCGTCGTAGTACATACCTTTGATCCCAGTACTTGGGAGGCAGAGGCAGGCAGATCTCTGTGAGTTCAAAGCCAGCCTGGTCTAAATCCGAGTTCCAGGCAGCCAGGGCTGGGTAATGAGCCCCTTCTCAAAAAAACAAAAAATAAAAATAAATAAAATCCCTTTTTGGGGCTCCCTGTAGCCCCATCTGGCCTTGAACTCACAGAATCCACCTGCCTCTGCCCCCTGAGTGCTGGGAATAAAGGTATGTGCCACCACACCTGACTCAAAAATAAAATCTTTAAAAAGGTTTGTTAAGCCTGATGTGATGGCACCACCTATAATCCAAAAACTCTGGAGGCAGATGCAGGATGATCTTGAGTCTGAGGTTACATGTAGTGATGTTACCAATGCTACCATGGCTCCCCAGCCATGTTCTACCAGGACCTTTGTTCTACCCAGGCAGAGATTGTGGTAAGCAAGGAGAAGCTCTCAAGTGCTTAGCTCTAGCAGCTTTTGTTTCCCTAGGCCTTTGACAGCAGCCAGCATGTAGACAGGAACAACAGCACATGGAGCCCTTTAGTATTAGAGCTGTAGTGTAGGTATAGGCCTAGGAAGTCAGGATTTTTCAGCCCTTGGCTATGCCTGGCATCGAAGCTTCCAGAGGGATCTAGATATCAGGATTCTTTAGTCATTAAAGCAGCCAGCATTACAGCTCCTAGGCCTGGGGTGCCTGAGACCCAAGGCCTTCAAGACTTGAACAACTCTATGGAACCATTTTAGTGACCGGGGCCTGCTGTGGTTTCTCTTTTCTGACTCTATACAGCTTTACATTCTTACTGCATTTTAAACTGTGTGTGTGTGTATGTGTGTGTGTGTGAGAGAGATTTTCTGTGCTGACTGGCTGATCTTGAACTGAAGGTGATCCTCTTGACTCTGTCTCTTGAATGCTGGGATTATAGGTGTATACCACCATGCCCAATTTCGTTATGACATTAATTTTTTAAAAATTACATATTTGGGTTAGAGAGATGACTTGGGTTAAGAGCACTGGCTACTGTTACAGAGGCCCCAGGTTTGATTCCCAGCACCCTTGGTGACTAACAACTATAACTCTAGTTCCAGGGAATATGACACCCTCTTCTGACATCCGAGTGTACTGCACAACACGGGTGCACTTACATACATGCAGGCAATACATTCTTACACATAAAATGAAAATAATAAATAAAATATTTAAAAATTACGCCCGGGTGTGGTGGCGCATGCCTTTAATGCCAGCACTCGGGAGGCAGAGGCAGGCAGATCTCTGTGAGTTCAAGGCCAGCCTGGTCTACATAGTGAGTTCCAGGATAGCTGGGGCTACAGGAAAACCCTGTCTCAAAAAGACCCCCCCCCAAAATTTAAATTACATATTTATTTATTTAGTGGGAAGGGGAGGTTGTAACACAGCATGTGTGTGGAGGTCAGAGGACAACTTGAGGCATTCAGGTTCCCTTTTCCACAACGTGGGCTTCAGGGATTGAACTCAGGTAGTCAGATTTGACAGCAAGGGCCTTTACTTGCTGAGCCATCTCACTGGCCCTCCTTATGACATTTTTGTACATGTTTATCAGTTGTACTTTGCTGGAATTTGCTTGTCTCCCCTCCTGCTTACCCTCTTCTTTCCCCTCAATCTTCCTTCCACTTCATGTCATTTATTTTCCCCCTTTAGTCTAGAGTCTACATATGGGAGAAAACATGGTATTTGTCTTTCTGAGCCCAGTATCTTTTACTTAACATGATGGCATCTAGTTTCTGGCTGCTCTTTGTCTCCTTGCCTCTTCTGCGGCCTGCTCAGCTGCTCGGCTGCTGTGGCCACTCTGCTGTCTTTGCTGTTCCATCCTTTCTGTGACCAGCTCAGCCCACTCTGCTAAGAGCAGGCAAGAGAAGACCACTTGGGAGAACCTTGTGGGGCCTATTGTTGTTGAAGGCAGCCAGGGTAATAAAGGAGATGCTAATGGACATAAGGGAATCAAACTGATATCTATGCTTATTTATAGGAAATTGAATCTCTGAAGGGGTGCATACAGTAGGAACTTAGAATTATTATTATTATTATTATTATTATTATTATTATATTTTGTCTTTTTGAGACAGGGTCTCCCTATAGCCCCAACTGTCACTATGTAGACTAGGCTGCCCTTGAACTCACTGAGATCCACCTGCCTCTGCCTCCCAAGTCCTGGGATCAAAGGCATGCACCACCATGCCAGGCCCAAGAATTATTATTTTTATTTCATGTATATTAGTGTTTTCCTGAATGTATATACATGTACCATGTACATGCAATGCCCACAGAGGCCAGAAGAGGGCATTGGATCCCCTGGACTGGGGTTATGGACATTTGCCATGTCCATGCTGCAAACTAAACCTGGGTCCTCTGCAAGAATAGGAAGTGCCCTTAACCACTGAACCAGCCAGAAAAACTCAAAGAATTGAGCTAGGTATGGTGGCTCACAGCTGAGATTCCAGGCATTCAGGAAGCTGAGGCAGGAGGTGTGGCCATGAGTTCAAGGCCTGGCTGGACTAGTGTGAGACCCTGTCTCAAAACAGCAAACAGCAACAATAACAATAAAAACCCAAGTGCCAGGCGTGGTGGCGCACGCCTTTAATCCCAGCACTTGGGAGGCAGAGGCAGGTGGATCTTTGTGAGTTCAAGGCCAGCCTGGTCCACATAGTGAATTCCAGGACAGCTGGGGCTACAGGGAGACCCTGTCTCAAAAAGACCAAAAAAAAAAAAACCCAAGAAAGAAAAAAAACTTGGAACTTACCATCAACACTAAGTGATTTTAGCGTTTTATTGTTGTTGTTGTTTGTTGAGACAGCTGGCCTTGAACTCACAGAGATCTGCCTGCCTCTACCTCCCAAGGGCTGGGAAATTGTTTTTTTTTTTAATATTTTTTAATTTTTATTTTATATGTATGAATGTTATGCCTGCATGTAGGTAAGTGCACCCATGTTGTACAAGCCCACGGAGGACAGAACAGACTGTCGGATCCCTGGAACTGGAGTTACGGACAGTTAGCTGCCGTTTGGGTGCTGGGATTCAAACCTGGGTCTTCTGAAAGAACAGTCAGTGTTCTTAACTGCTGAGCCATCTCTCTAGCCCCAACTGGGAAGTTTTTTGAGGTAGCATTTCATGTAGCCCAAGCTGGCCTTGAACTTGCTATGTAGCTGAGAATGACCTTGAACTTCTGATCCTCCTGCCTTCACCTCCCAAGTGCTGAATTACAGGCATGAGGTACCAGGCCCAGTGATTTTATCAGACTTTAACAGTGCTTTAACAATGTTCAGTACCTACTCAGTAAGTACCCAAGGGAGAGGTGGGTCTCCCCTCACCTGTGTCAGGGTGTGGAAAACAAGCAAAAGAAACAAAATGTGGGCAAGTACTCTTCTTGCTGCTCAGCCCACTGTCCTTTCTTTTTTTTCCTTTTTTGGTCTTTTTGAGACAACGTCTTCCTGTAGTCCCAGCTGGCCTGGAACTCACTAGGTAGACCAGGCTGGCCCCAAACTCACAGAGATCCACCTGCCTCTGCCTTCCGAGTGCAGAGATTAAAGGCATGCTTCACCATGCCTGGCTGCAGGTTAAGTTTTTGCAGATATAAGTGTTCTAAGGGATGGCCAGATTTCCTTTTGTCCCATTACTGGTGGCAGGTACAGTGGCAATGCCTGAATGATTTCTGTACCTTAAAAGTTACTTTTCTTGGGGCTGGGGGGTGGCTCAGTAGGTAAGGTGCTTGCTGTGGAAACATGAGGCCTGCGTTCAGAGCCCCAGGACCCACATAAGCTGGATACAGTAGCTCACAGCTGTAATTCCAGTGCTTTTTACAAGGAGATTGGAAGTAGGGACAGGAGGATTCCCAGAAGCTTCATGGGCCAGCCAGCCTGGCGTATGCAGTAGTGAACCCAAGAGACTCTGTCTCAAACAAGGTAGAAGGCAAGGACCAATACCCAAGGTGTCCTCTGACCTCCACAAGTGTGCTGTGGCATGTGTGCGTGTGGCATGCATGCGTGCTGCACACATGCACATACACATATCATACACAACCATACACAAAGATTTAAAAACATGTAATTATATTACTTTCTTCCTCTTTGCATTTTATTAGGTGTTATGTTTGTTTGTTTTGTTGTTTTGTTTTGTTTTGTTGGTCTTTTTGAAACAGGGTCTTCCTGTAGCTCCACCTGGCCTGGAACTTGCTATGTAGACCAGAGACTCACAGAGATCAGCCTGCCTCTGCCTCCTGAGTGCTGGGATTAAAGGCGTGGACTACCACACCTGGCTTTTGTTAGTATTTTGAAAGGAAACATTTTGGTATAATATAAATATCCTGTTCCCCTCTGCCTCCATTTTTTTTTTTTTTTTTTTTGAGACATGGTCTCCCTATAGCCCTAGCTGACTTGGAATTCACTGTATAGACCAGGCTTAGACCAGGCTAGCCTCGATCTCACAGAGACCTGCCTGCCTGTCTCTCCCAAGTGCTGTAATTAAAGGTGTCTGCCACCATGCCTAGCCTCCTCCTGTTTTTTTAAAAAATATTTTATTTATTATTATTTTTTTAATGTGTATAAGTGTATTGCCTCCATGTATGTGAGTGCACCTGTGTCATGCAATGCTGCGGAGGTCAGAAGAGGGCTTTGGATTCTTGGAACTGGAGTTAAGGACAGTTGTTAGCCCCCATGTAGGTGCTGGGAATCGAACCTGGGTCCTCTGCAAGAGCAGTTAGTGTTCTTAACCTCTGAGCCATCTTTCCAGCCCCACCCTTCCATTTTTTAAGATAGGGTCTTGCTATATAGGTCAGGCTGGCCTGGAAGTCACTTTGTAACCCAGGCTGGCTTTGCTTTCTAATCCTGCAATTTTGAGATTAAGCAATTATATTTATGCTAAACATATGAAAGCTTTGGTTGCAAGTCAGTAACTAGCCCATGCCAGTTTAGTACAGGGATGCTATCAGCCCCTGTTAAACATCAGAGTATATTAATGTTAGGCTGGTTGAAGGAGGATGGGACTGACAGAGGTGTCCCACTCAGTTCTCTCCCTGGGCAAGGAGGTGTGAGGTGCTGGCACCATTTCTCCCACGGCATTTACTTCTCTCTTGTCCCCTCAGGTCTATATCCGTACACCTTCTGGTGAGGTACAGACAGTCCTTGTCCAGGACAGCCCCCCGGCAACAGCTGCAACCACCTCAACCACCTGTAATAGCCCTGCCCCCCGAGCTCCCCATCTGAGTGGCACCAGCAAAAAGCATTCAGCTGCAATTCTCCGAAAAGAACGTCCCCTGCCAAAGATTGCACCTGCTGGGAGCATCATCAGCCTGAATGCCGCACAGCTGGCAGCAGCTGCCCAGGCCATGCAGACCATCAACATCAATGGCGTTCAAGTCCAGGGTGTGCCTGTTACCATCACCAACACTGGTGGTAAGGAAAAGTCCTGCAACTAGGGTGTTGGCAGTAGGGCATTGTGCCCAGTATGTGGGAATCATGGACTAGGCCCCCAGGATTCCCAGTAGCAGCTGTGAGGATGCTATCCAGTAAGGGTACCACCCAGAGTTCACCTGGTCCCCTCCAGCCTCAGAGTATACCCATGTATATTTTCCCACCTGGCCCTTATAGTTGTGTAAGATCTAGTAAGTCACATTCCCCATTTGATAACTACAGACCTTGAATAATGATGGAGAAAATAGATGTGTCCAAGGAGTGTCCATACTATTTCACTATGTAGAGATCTGCCTGCCTCTGTCTCCCAAGTGCTGGGACTAAAAGCATGCATTACTATACCCAGTGTAAGACTTCTTGAAGAGGAAGGCTGGTGTTGAGGTTGGGAGCAAAGAGGGGAATGGGACCAGCTTGTGCTGTACAACTTCAGTTGTGATGCATGCTGCGAAAACAGCCTTGAAAATGAGGGAACATGGAGCTACTTAGCAAAAGTCGTCTTTGCATTCTGCACCTGGAGGAGAGTTGTTTGAAAGGTATCAAGAGCTCACCCAAACTGTTTCCTTCTTCCCTAATGAACTTCTGGTACTGTCTGCATTAGGTTTTCCACCTTTAAGCACATGCCAAGAGGGAGGACAGGGTGGCCTAGAGGATGTGATTTTTCCCAACACTCATGAACAGAAGTCTTTGGAGAGTTTCTTACAAGCACAGTTGATATCTCACAAAGGCCTACATCTCTAACTGCTCTCAAACACTAGCTACCATGATTTTTATCCTTAACCCGAGCAGAAGGGAAGAAGGGCTAATCTGAGGCTTCCTCCTCTGAACCGTGCATGCCCTTCCCTTTCCCACAGGACAGCAGCAGCTGACGGTACAGAATGTTTCTGGAAACAACCTGACCATCAGTGGGCTGAGCCCCACCCAGATCCAGCTGCAGATGGAGCAGGCCCTAGCTGGAGAGGCCCAGCCCGGGGAGAAGCGGCGCCGTATGGCCTGCACGTGTCCTAACTGCAAGGATGGGGAGAAGAGGTAACTCAAGGGCTGGGGCCAAACCAGCAGCCTGGCCTCTGCTCTCCTTCCCAAGTCCCTTAGTGGAAGGGATAGCTGCCCAGGGCTAAAAGCTGGCCCAGACCCAGAGGGACTTGGTAACTCCCTATCTTCTTGCCTCCCATCTTTTCTGTGCTCTCTGACCTGATCTCCTCCCCTCTCAATCCCATCCTGCTCCTTCCCATCTTCTCCCTCCTCCCTCTCCTCTTCCTATTCACTCGTCTACTCTCAACCCTCAGGTCTGGAGAGCAGGGCAAGAAGAAGCATGTGTGCCACATCCCTGACTGTGGCAAGACGTTCCGGAAGACATCTTTGCTCCGGGCCCATGTTCGCCTGCACACAGGCGAGCGGCCCTTTGTCTGCAACTGGTTCTTTTGTGGAAAGAGGTTCACGCGAAGCGACGAACTCCAGCGGCATGCTCGCACCCACACAGGTCAGCTTCCCCACGCCCTTCTGCTGCCCTCTGCATTTTTCCTTCCTGTTCTGCAGCTGCCATGCTAGGCAAGGCTACATCGGCCAGACCACCCAGGGAGTTCTTTCAAAGCATTGCACTGTTGCCCAGAGTCAGGTCATTGCATCACACAGCCTTGACAACCTCTGCTGCATCTGCAGAGCTGTTTAGCAAGTACTAAAGCTGGCCAGCTATAATCTCAGCAGTGAGAGGGCAGGGCAGGAGGATCAGGACTTTGGGGTCAGCCTGGACAGTGTGAGATTGTGTCATAAACAACAAAACCTACTAAGCACTGGTGAAGTGTCCCAGGCATAGTCTTTAGGGTTTTCAGATAACCTCAATTAATCCTGGTATGGCCTCTGAGAGGTACTTTAGTTTATGCCCATTTTATTGAGGCTTAGAGAAGTGGCTGGTGACAGGTAAGCTGGGTTCCAGCCGAGGCCCTCACTACCAAGCCCATCATTTGTTTTTAAGATAGGTTCTCATGATTTATCAGGCTGTCCTGGGATTTGTGATCTTCCTGACTCAGCCCTCTGGTACTCAGAATTATACATGGGAACCATCTTACTTGGCTTCCCAACCTTCTTTTTATCTTTTTCTGGGGGTGGGGGGGAGCAGGATTTTGCTGTATTCCAGGCTGGCCTTGAAGCAATCCTCTTGCCTTAGCCTCCCAAGTGTACCACCACACACCTAGCTTTTTTTAAAATTTTGAGACAAGATCTTGTTATATATAGTCCAGGTTTGTCTTAAACTCATTACCATCTTCCTGCTTTAGCCTCTCAAATGCTGGGATTATAGGCATACTCTAATATGCCTGGCTTACTGCCAGGCCTGCTTTGATATAATGGGTTTGATCTCATAGTTCTGTGCTTTAATGTACTAACAAATACAGGCAAAACTAGAGAAAAATGACCTGAAGGGTATTAGGCATGCCCAGTGATTCCAACACATACCAACTGCAGTGAAGGCCTGGTGAGCAGAGATTGGAAGTAGGGAACCTGTGATTCCTGGCCAGGTCTTACTTGACTCAGAAGCAATAGAGAAAGCACCGACAGAGGGTGGGTCATTGTGGTCCAGAATCAGTGGGTGCTCAGGGCTACTGATGTTACACTGCAAGGAGGAGGATGTTGATCAAGGTTCCAAGTCCAGGGGACATAGTTCAGAATGAAGCCAGCAGACAGAGGATCAAGCACCAAGAGCCTGGGCACGGAACAAGGAACTGGAGCAAGGTCGACTGGAAGGTCAGATGGTCAGGGAAGTGAGACAGACAGGGAGGAAACCTGTATGCAGAATGTGATGTGGAGATAAGGCCAAGTCAACTTTTTTTTGAGGACCCTCACACGTGTTCTTCCTTTTGGGGGCTGTGGTAGTATCTATACATGGGTTCATGGGTAACAGATATCTCCTCTCCCCAGGGGACAAGCGCTTTGAGTGTGCTCAGTGTCAGAAGCGCTTCATGAGAAGTGACCACCTCACCAAGCATTACAAGACCCACCTAGTCACGAAGAACTTGTAAGGCCAACTGAGGCAGGAGGCCCCGAAGATGGAATCCCCCCATCTGTCTGGCCAGGGCCCATGGGGGACAGGTGCCCACAAATGCCCTGGACCCACCCTCACCCCAACTCCTGTTATGTGGCTGTGTCCCCACAGGAAGGGCTCTGGTCCTGTGCTCACCTTCTTCCAAAGGCCCTCAGCGCTACCTTGCCCTTCCCTTCTCACCATGAGTTCCTCAGCCTGCTCAGGCCATGGACACTGGCCATGCCCAATGAGACGTTCTAAACCAGGACGCATGGGGACCCTTATTTCCAAAGGAAAAACATGCATTTCACTCCGTCGAGGAGCAAAGTGAGCCCCCACCCCATTCCCTGCCCCAACACTGCCGGAGTCCCATTGTGCCATGCCCCCATCCTGTGCCCCCTGTTCCTCTCAACCACATCCTTCTCTGGCCACTAGGGATGCCCTGGGGCCCTGTAACCAGTCTCCCACTGGCACCCACTTTGGAGGCTTGGGAGGCTGCCTCCGCTCCACTGCCCAGCCCTGCCACGGCTCTCCTCCAGACATTCCAACTTTCTATTTGAAAGGTCAGATGCCGGCGGACTCCTCCCACTCCCTATTTTCTATGGAGAACGTTGCCTTATACTCTCTACTTCAGATGATGAACACTGTGTATGTGTGTGCTTTAAAGACGTTTTATTGAATTGCTCCCTCTTCATTTCTTTGGTAGTCACCTCCCCATGCTTGTGTTCAGTTTAGGGTTTGGGGGGCAATGATGAGCATATGAGTTTTTCTCACTCCAGCAATTCTCCTTTCTAAGTGACACATTTCAGCTCAGATCCTGGACTCACCTCCCATTCTGACCCCCCCCATCTCTCCCACTGCTCGCCCAAGCTCTACTGTGTACAGTGTATATTGTATAATAGACGATTGTGTCTACAACGTTTTAAAACATATTGCTTGTTATTTTTGAGGCTTTTAAATTAAACAAAAATCCAACTTTATTTTTAGTTGTAACTGCTTGAGGTATGTTTTATGAATTAAGTGACAGATTTGTTATCCTTTATTAACAATGTACTTTGTTGGTCAGTGCTGGGCTGACGAAAATTTTCTTGCTAATAAACTGAGTTGCCCGAGGCAAAGTCTGCTCTTGGCAGTTGGGCTTTCTTTGTCTCTTCCTTTGGAGGTCTTAGTGAGGGCTCCCAAGGAGGGAGCTGTGTACTCTAAAAAGACCTTGTCCTCCTAGTCCTCACTTAGCAAATCCAGGCCATGATCCCAATGGGAAAGAGTGCTCAGAGCACCTCTGGGGACCTTCTGAGGCCAGAGGCCAATGTAAGTATTTCTGCTTTTTTCTTCCACAAACCAATGTTACTTCTACCCGAGGCAAGTTGTAGAAGGGACTTCCTGCGCAGGCAAGCTAACTGCTACACTCTCCTTCCTGGCCTTGGAGAAAGCCTTTGCCTCACAGCCCCTAAGTAAGAAGCTAACAAAGACAAGCCAAGGGGCCTTAGCCCAGAAGACTGAATCTAGGGAAAATGCAGTTCCCAAAGGGCCAGGAATCCTTTCCAAGGTGGAAGTCCAAGACAGTTCCTCATAGGGCCTGGCAGCAAGAGGCCTTGGAGCCCAGCTTTCTCTTGAGAGCGGGTCCTGGCTGGCCCTGGATTCTACTTTTCTTCTATCCCCTGGCCCAGCATCTCAGAGGGCAGTCTTGGGGTTTCCAGTGGTTTTCAGTAGGGCTATAGATCTGAAATTGTGTGGGGACTTTTTCATTTTGGCAGAAAGACAGAAGTCGGGTTGTGATTTATGCATATTTAAGACTGGAGTTAGTGTGTAAGCCTCAGGGGCCTGAGGAGCAGCCAGGCTGGAGGAAAGAGGTTAATCTGCCCCAGGCATGTTGTCACCCTAGGCCAGCCAGGACCACAGCCCTGCTAAGGAGTTCAGCGACTTCTGCACCATCCATTCATTCCCTTGCACTCTTTTCTGTGTTGCCAGCCACCTGCAGTGCCAGCCAAGGACATGGATCTCAAATGGGGCTGGACTCTCTGCCCTTGATCATTTCTTTGTCAGCAGCAATGTGATCCTTCCTGCACATTCTCAAGTCCTTCAGGCAGTTCTAGACCAACAGCTGGAAAAACCCTGGCCCTGCATCTCACTGCAGCTCTGGCAGCTGGGGAAGGCCTTGCTGTATTCTGAAGAGTTGGTAGTACAGAGGGACACAGTAACCAACTGGCCTCTTTCTGTCATACTTTGCCTCAAGCATAAGAATTATTCTTCTCTGGGGGTTGACTCCTTGGCTTCCTTTGTAAATGAAGCGACCAGCCCCATCTGGGCAGAAGACCAGGCTGGGAAATGGAAGTTCCTGTCTTAGGGAGACACGCAGGTTCACAAGCTATGGCTGACTACTTCTGTCTCTGTGGGATGCCTGAGTTTTACCTAGTGATGATGAGAACCAGGAGTAGAAAGACTCAGACCCAGGGAGATGGCTCAGTCAGTAAAGTGTTTACTATGCAAGTGTGAGGACCTGAGTCTAATCCCCAGAACCTACATAAAAAGCTGTACCTGGTGGCATGTGCTTGTAATCCTGGTGCTCAGAAGGCAGAGACTGGTGGATCCCTGGGGCTCTCTGGTCGGCCAGCCTACCCTAATCAGCAAGCTCCAGGTCCAAGTAAGAGAGACCCTGTCTCAAAAAACAAGGTGTATGGCTCCTAAGTAATAGCACCCAAAGTTGACCCCTGGCCTCCACATGTGTGCACCTGCACACACACCCATGTACACATGAACACATACAAAAAAGACTCAGTGAAAAAATGGGCCTTCATCTGGTTTTAACCTATCTTCTAGCTGAGAGTTACAGCAGCCAGGGCTGTTAGGCCTACCCTCTCCTGAGCAAGAGGCCTCTACCAGACACCTGATGTGCCCTGCATGACAATCTGACATCCAACATGACAATCTGCAAGCTACACCCAGAAGCTTAAGGGAGGTCCTGACAACCTATGGCTCCTCCTCTACCCACTTCCTTCCTTAGGTCATCTGTACCACAGTTGCCCATCATGTTTTTGCCTCTTGTCTGCTCGGCCTACTCTTAGGACTGCAGGTCTTTAGCCCAGTCACCTGGATTATTTCCCCTAGTGAAGGGGGTGGGAAAGATTCACTTCTGAAGGCAAATCCAAGCAATAAACTTAACCGCCTTGTAGCAGAGCCAGGTGGATCTCTGTGAGTTCAAGGCTAGCCTGGTCTACATAGTGAGTTCCAGACCAGTCAGTGCTATATAGTGAGACCCTTTATCAAAATAATAAATAAATAAATAAATAATAAAATCAACTTAGTGTCTTCCTGAGCTGGAGATGTACGTCAGTTGGTAGAGTATTTGCCTAATGTGCATAGGTTCAATACCAGTACCACAAAATAAACAATCTCTTCCTAACCTCCAGGGTCTAGAGAAGCTGAACAATGATGTTAACTAAGCTTGGGCTCAAGGTGACTGCTCCTTATGCCTCTCCCTAGTCCTCAAGGCTTTGAAGTCAGACAGGGCTACATTCACCCTCTTTAGTACCAGGTCTTCGAGGCATGTACAGCAGTGCCTGCTCAGGGGCCTTTCAGTCTTATACCCTATCCACAGACAGATGCTTTCATTCACCATCTTGGGGAGCCCCTGTGGAGACTGGTCCAAAGCTTATAAGCTTAGTCACAGTGAGGGATACCCTGGGCTCCACAGGTGATGGTAGGGAAATGAGTGAGAGGCAGGCATTCCCCCTCACACACAGGATTCAGGAGGCAGCCCCACCTCAGATCTCAGGCAAACATACACAAACAAACACAATCAGATGAATCCTCCTTTACCCCAGCAGGCAAAAGGGTCTGTGGCAGAGGCCTTCCAATACAGACTATCCTTGGAAAAACTCCCCCTGCCCAAAGTCAACCTGTCCTATCTCCAAACCAACCTGCTGCATCATTTCCAGAGTGGTAGAGATTCCTTTAATTCCCCACGCTACAAAAATCTTGAAGATAGAACTAAGTCAAGCCTAGGGGTGCAGGTCTGTAATCCCAACTACCAGAGAGGCTGAGTCAAGAACATTGAAGGTTTTTTAAAAAATATATATATTTTTTTATTTTATGTGTACAAGTGTATTGCCTGCATGTATGTGAATACACCCATGTCGTGCATTGCCACAGAGGTCAGAAGAGGGCTTCAGATTCCCCTGGAACTGGAGTTAAGGACAGTTCGTAGCGACCATGTGGGTGCTGGGAATAGAACCCAGGTCCTCTGCAAGAGCAGTCAGTGCTCTTAACTGCTGAGCCAACTCTCCAGCCCACATTGAAGATTTAAGGCCAGTCTGAGCTACAAAATGAGTTCAAGGTAGATCCTGGCAACTTAGTGAGACCTAATCTCAAAATAAAATGTAAAAAGAGGGTTGAGGATGCAGCTCAGTGGTAGAGAACTTGCCTAGCATGAGTGAGGCCCTAGGTTCAACCTCCAGTACTGAAACAAAACAAACGCCACCTCTTCAGCCAGGTGGGATAGGTCATGCCTATATCCCAGCACTTAGGGGACTGAGTCAGGCTATTGACATGAGTCAGGCTAAGGCCAGCCTGGTCTACACAGTGTGGTCTAGGTCAGCAGGACTACAGGAAAAAAAAAAAAAATTACACAACCAGTTTGACAGAGTAAATTACATAGCAACAGCCTATGAAGAGTGGACTAGCATCAGTCAGGTAACCAGAACCTCAAGAGTCCAGAGATGACCTGAGGCAAGGGCTCTGGCTTGGGGCAGAGCTTGCTAGCCACAACCCACCTTCATCCTGCCCCTCATTTCAGCTCACACAAGGTTGCCACTTACAAGGCTCTTGGTGAATGGAATACAGATTACAGGAACCAAACTCAGGGTGAGATCCTGCCTTGGGCCAGCAACCATTGTGACTTGACCAGTCTTTGGAGTTAGGGTAAAGCCACTTTAGGAACTGTAGTAATCACAGGACAGGTGGCAGTTAGGTTTTCTTTTTCTTTTTTCCTTCCTTTTTTTGTATGTGCATGGTATGTGGTATATGCATGTGTGTACACGTGTATGCAGTGTGTGCACCCATGAGCATGCACATGGAGAGACCAGAGGATGTCAGGTGGCCTCCTCTACTGCTCTCCATCTTGGTACCTTGAAACAAGGTCTCTACCTGAACCTGGCACTTGGCACTTTTTTTTAGCTAGGCTGGCGGCCAGCAAGCTCAGTGACCCTCCTGTCTCTGTCTCCACCCTCACCCCACCCCCAACACCCAGCGCTGGGGTTCAGATTCATGCAGCCACACCCAGCTTTTTATGTGGGTGCAGGGAGGGAGCCCAGGTCCTCATGCTTATGCAGCAAGCATGCTTACCCACTGACCTGTGTCCACAGTCCTACAGTTGGGTTTTCTAGGAAAGGGGATCCTCAAGGAACTGCAGGAAGACTGTGAAGACAGAACACTGTGAAAAGGCGAACCGTGCTGGGCTGACAGGAACCCAGGGTGCAGACAGGAGGGCTGAACACCTGCTTCTAGGGATCCTGGGCAAGAGAATTGAGATTCATCAGAGAGCAAACCAAACACAACCACTGATCAGGATTTTCTCCCAAATCTAAGAAGCAACCAGGTCCCATCCTTTGGGCCTACCAGGGAACCCACCCCCCAGCTGTCAGCCCACTGCCTGTGGCCTACTCTAATTGCCATAGCAACCAGTTGGGGAATGAGATGGATATAGAATACTTGGCCTTTGGGGATGTGTGTAACTAATATTCCTCTAATCAATGAGCATACTCTCCCTGCTCCTGGTGGGTGCCAAAAACCAAGAACCCTATTCTTTAAGTATAGCACCCAACTACAAAGAAGCTTAATAAAAGCAGTTTAAGCTTAATCACTACAGATGACACTACAGATGAGCATTTCCTAAGCACATCTGGTAGCGAGGATTTGAAGGAGCCACAGAAAGTAAAACATGTAGTATACTCTCCACCTCCAATAAAGAAACTCCCAATCTCACGGGAAATACCCGCTACATGTATAAACACCACAGACACGGTTTAGGAAACCACCCAGGTGCAGGTGGAAGGGGTTAACCATAAAACCCCACAGGCAGAACACCGATAAGGTTCAGTTTCCCTTCGTCCCACCCGCAGCAAGCCTCTGAGGACCCAGCCTGACTCTAGGCCCCCTGATAACCTACTGAGATCGCAGCAACCTGCTGGCAGGAAGCCAAACTATATCCTTTTGAATATTCTGGTGTTGCTCTAAGCTGTGTTCATCCCAAGATAGAGAATTCCTGAGCTTAGGGCTCCCAGCACACCTTTGCGCCCTGGCATTTCCTCTTCTATCCTGGAAAGCTGGAGGGTCCATCTCCCCAGCATCACTATCACTCTTCCTTGACTTCTCTCTTTCCTCACCATCCTCCTTAATTCCAAAGATCTCTTCTCTCACACAAACTCAGCCTCCCTATGGCTTCAAGTACCATCTTGGAGGCTCATGATATAAAATTGGTATCATCGGCCCCAGACCTCTCCCCTAAGCTCCAGCTTCCATTTCTAACCAGATTGAACATGGGTGTCCTGTAAACCCTTAACAGGTCTAATTAATCAGTCCCCCAAACCTCCTTCTCCAATTGATAAACAGTACCATCTATGTAGCCTAAAGCCAGTCCTGGGGAACTGAGTATCCTCCTCTCTACGCCCTCTCCCAATAGCTAGGCATTAGGCGTGTCCCTGACCCCCTTCCCACCAGCTTCCACTCAAGACACTCCAGCTGCTCCCAGCAACTCCCAGCCACCAGCCTCACCTTCCCTTCCTCATCATCTGCTTCTCACCAGAGCCAGATTCCAGTATACAAATCTAATCATCACTGAAACAAAAATTCAAATCAATAATCCAATCAGATAGTTAGATGAAAGATGGTTTAAGAAAAAAAGCAGGGGCTAGAGAGATGGTTCAGCAGTTAAGAGCACTGGGTGCTCTTGCAGAGGACCCAGCCTTGGTTCCTAGCATCCACATGGCAGCTAACAACTGTTCATAGCTCCAATTCCAAGGAATCTGGCACCCTATTCTGGCCTCATCAGACATTGCACACACAGGTGCACTTACATACATGCAAGCAAAACATTCACACACATAAAATAAAAATAAATTTAAAAAAGAAAGAAAATAAATGTAACTGGGTATGGTGGCACATGCCCTTTAATCCCTACACTTGGGAGGCAGAGACAGGCAGATCTCTGTGAGATCAAGGTCACCCTGGTCTACATAGCAAGTTCCAGGCCAGTTGGGGCTACAGGAAGACCCTGTCACAAAACAACAAAACAAAACACAACACAACACAAAAAATAAAAACAAAACCACCCACAAAACAGAACAAAAAACTTTATGAGAAAGGAGGCAAGGCAATGCTCTGCACCCACACAAACTGCTGTTTTATCTTAAGAAGTCAGTGTAGCTCTCTGTGTAATGCAATTTTGCAAGGCATTGCTTATTCATTTAAGCCTTTCTCAAGAAAACATAATATTACAAAGTTTGGAGGATGGGATGGCAAAGCATTTAAGAAAAAGCAGTACAATTTAAAAAATGCATTTCTCTCACTCAGAAAAACAAAGCTGCAACTCACAGCTGGTTCCCCTCTGGTTATGTACAGCAGGGCTGCTTTGTGATAGACCCTGAATCCTACCAAGAAGAAAAGCACAACACAAGCCTACTTATGGTCAAGACAAAGGGGACCTAAGGGAATCAGCTGCACTTGGGAGGCTGACAGGCTGAACTGTCAAGGAGGGGAGAGGCTGTCAGAAACTAGCACTTTTTTCTCCATCTGCTTTACCTTGTCTGTTTCTGAAGTGCTGGAGGTGGAATCCAGAGCCTAGTGTATGCAAGGCAAGTGCTCTGCCAGTGAACTATATCCCCAGCCCTTAGTGGAGTCTTTTTCTTGAGACAGATTCTTACTAAGCTGCCCAAGCTGGCCTCAAATTATGACCCTCCTGCCTCAGCCTCCCAGGTATCTGGCTTGAGGATACAGTCTGCCACACCTGGCCCCTAAATGGTCTTTGACAAAAAAATAACAACCAACCCCTGCATTAGACTTTTGGGTCAACAGTGTCATAAGACAAAGAATTAAAACCATTGTATCTAAAAGACGCCCCCCCCCCCCCGCCACCTTCATGGTAGGTCTTCAGCAAGGAGCACCGAGTGGCTGCCTGCTCATCTGACCTGTTTCTCATTCCCTGGCTCCAGCAGCAGTGCGCTATTCCAAGGTTCCAGGTACATATGTCGTTACTGGCCATCTTCCCTCTTCCTAAATGCCTTTTCTATTGTCCATCTGGCAAACACTCCTTCAGCCAAATCCATTGTCAGCTCCCTTTATGAAGTCTTTCTGGACTGGTTCTCCCCTTTGGGTCTGTTTCCCTTTACCTTACAGAAACATGTTAACCGCCTGTACCTCTTTAGCTGGTAGATCTGATCCTGTGGGTAGGAATTGTGCCATTGCCTTCACTTTTAGTACTGTCAGACCTAGCTCACTGCTTTGTCTAGAGGAAGTTAACAAATGTTTTTGAATGGATGGGATACCTGAATGCACATCTGCTCCACTCATGGCTTTTTGTTGTTGTTTTGTTTTGACAGGATCTCACTATGCAGCCTGGCTGGTCTTCTCATGATCTTCCCCCTCAGCCTCCCATGTGCTGGAGTCACAGGTGTGTGACTCAATCTCTTGTCTTTGAAGCCTACAGTACCTATAAAAATCCAGATTCAGGGGCTGAAGAGATGGCTCAGTGGTTAAGAGCACTGGCTGCTCTTGCAGAGGACCTGGGTTCCATTCCCATCACTTAAACGCATGCATCCATAACTCCAACGGTTAACTCTAGTTCTAGAGAATCCGACGCCCTCTTCTGGCCTGTGTGGGCATGGCACAATACAAGTGCACTTAAATACATACAGGCAAAAAACCCACACATACATTTAAAGGAAAAGAATCTAGCTTCAATGTAGTAGTAGCCCAGGCATGTGAAGAGCAGGACCCTATGAAGGCATCGACTATTTACTTAGGTCAACTGCAGGGACCAGACAATTCTCTCCATCATGCAGATGGAAGAAAACAATGGTGGCACAAAAAATTCCAACCAGTGGAGAATGCATAAATCAATTAACATAATTAAGCCTTATCTTCTTTCTTTTTTGAGACGCATGATGATGACAGGTACTCAATGTAGGCAACTAGGCAGGCCAAGAGGTTCCCTTACCTGACAGAGTCCTAGGTGCCTGTTTAGATGACTCTTGGAGCTCCCACTTCAAATGCTGGTGGACACCTGGACTACAGCATCATCCCTACGACAGGCTGTCCCAGCCACATCAAAGCTGGACCAAGCACTGATGGGGTTTCCTATTTCTCAGCCCTATCTCCACAGCCTAGAGTTATTCTGCCTGTTCCCCTGTATCCTTGGCTATTGCTGGCATTCACCCAAGAACTACTTAAGGAAGGGCAAAATGTGAAACAGGAGAAAAAGTCAAAATGGAAAGGACCTGGACAGCCCTTCCATCTGCCAGACCATTGGCTAGTATAAACTCTGGCGCCCTAGGATAAGGGAAACCCCTAGGAAAGGCAGGGGTATGCTCTAACACCAGGCAAAACCAGGGAGTCAGCTCCCAGCTCATAAGGGAAGACCATTCTGGTCTGAAATAACTCAATTCCAAATTTCATTCTTCTTCCCATTTAGCAGACTCCCTTCTCACCTCGGAGTCTCCTGACCCCAGTGCACCTTCCCGGTCCTCAGAGTTTCCCCCTACACCCACCCCACAGTACCTATCCTTGTGTGGTCCGCAAGTCGTTTCGACCTCTCCCACTCTCAAGCCACAATTTCTTCCCCTTATCAGATTGCCTCTTTATCTCTGTGTCCCCCATCACCTCGCCTCAGAGCCTGGCCCCTACTTCCATTTTTTCCTTCCTCAGTCCACCAACCTCCGCTTCCAGGAGGTGTCTCGCGCCCTAAGTCACCTACGAAAGGCCAGCCACTGACCACTCCTTCCGGGGACCGGGGGGGGGGGTGTGGACTTCTCCCCTCCCCCCGCCTGGGCCGCAGACGTCCCTGTACCTTTAACAAACCTCCACGTGCGTGCTAACAGCGGTGACAGCATTTCCTTGTCGCTCTGCTCCCGCCCCCGGAGGAGGTGCCTATTGGCTGCTGCGGTCCTCTGTTCGAGCTCTCATTGGCCTCGTTTCCGGAAAACTCCAGCCAATGACCTCTCAGCGTCGATCTCCCTCCTCGGATCCTGGACAGCTATTGGCTGATCCTGGGCACTCCTTGGCTTCGAGAACAGGACTTGTTAGCTTGTCTGGGCCACTAGCAAATCATTCCTTCCAGGGTTAGACTCTCAGGCTGAGAAATTGGTTCCGAACCCAGCTGAACCCCGGGCCAGGCGAGTCACGTGGCTGGCTGTTTACATGACGTGCGGGCTGCTGGGCGTCACTGTGACGTTCCGGCGACCTGCGAAGTGGTCGGGCTACCTCCGTCACCTGTGCGGTCGCGGTGCGGTCATGGACCTGGGACCGATGCGCAAGAGTTATCGTGGGGACCAAGAGGTGCCTCCGACGCGGGGGAAGGGGGGTATCATCTACTGAAGGGTTAGCCCTGGGGCTTGAGGGGTCACCCTGATGGGAGAAAGAGGTTTCAGAAACAACCCCTGGAAAGGGGCTCAGGGGGAACATGGATATAAGAAAGGCAATGTGTTGCAGTGGTAAGCGGTGTGGACCCCGGAGCCCACCTGGGTTGGAACCCAGCCTTTTCTGAGTGTATCACCTTGGGCAATTTATCCTCTCTGGGCCTGATGACTCACTTGTAAAGTGATAATCCCCACTTAACGAGGATGCTGTGGATTTGGGTATTTTTTTAAATTACATTTTTATTCACCCTGTGTGTGCGCGCTTGCTTGCTTGCTGTGCGTGCGTGCACATGAGGAGGTCAGAGGACAGCTTGTAGGAGTTGGTTTGCTCCTTCCACCACTGTGAGTCCTGAAGATCAAACTCAGGTCATCAGGCACCTTTACCTACTGAGTCATCTCAACAGCTAGTATTTATAAAGTGCTTACAACAGTGATAAAACAGGGTTAGTCCACAGGCAGAGTGGTGCAGGCCTTTAATCCCAGCAGAAGCAGGTGGATCTCTGTGAACACAAGGCCAGCCTGGTCTACATAGAGTGTTCCTGGCTAGCCAGGGCTACATAATGAAATTCTGTCTCTAAAAAAGAAAAACCAAAACAAACAAACAAAACAGGGTACATAATAATAAGGAAGTGGAAGTTGGGATGTAGTTTAGTTGAGAGAGTGCTTGCTTAGTATGCATGAGGCCCTGGGTTCCATCCTTTAGCTTCAGATAAAGTGGACATGGTGGATGGCTCAGCAGTTGAGTGCTTGCTGCTCTTCCAGAGGACCTGAGTTCAGTTTCCACCACCCATGTCTAGCAGGTCACACCTGCCTGTAACTCTAGCTTCAGGAGGTTCAGTACTTTCCTCTAGCCTCCATGGGCACCCCCACATGCCAGACATTTTTACACACACATAAATTAAAAATAATAAAATAAATATTTAAAAAGTTGAGTGCCGGAGAGATGGCTCAGTGGCTAAGAACACTGGTTGTTCTTACAGAAGACACGGGTTCAATTCCCAGAACCCACATGGTGGCTAACAACCATCTGTAACTCCAGTTCCAGGGAATCTGACACCCTCTTCTGGCCTCCGTGGGCATTGCATGACACGGGTGCACTTACATGCAGGCAACACAATCATGCATGTAAAATAAAAATAATAAAGAAAATATTTTTAAAAAAAAGAGCCGGGCATGGTGGTGCATGCCTTTAATCCTAGCACTTGGGAGGCAGAGGCAGGCAGATCTCTGTGAGTTCAAGGCCAGCCTGGTCTACATAGTTCCAGGACAGCTGGGGCTACAGGGAGACCCTGTCTCAAAAAGACAAAAAAAAAAAAAATTAAAAAGAAGTTCAGGATCATCCTTGACTAAATAGTAAGGCCATGACTAACCTAATCTACATGAAACCCTATCTCAAAAAAAAAAAAAAAATGGGGCTGGCGACATGGCTCAGAGGTTAAGAGCACTGACTGCTGCAGAGGACCCAGGTTTGATTCCCAGCACCCACATGATGGCTACGAACCGTCCTTAACTCCAGTTCCAGGGCAATCCGAAGCCCTCTTCTGACCTGTGTGGCATTGCACAACACGGGGGCACTCACTACATGCAGGCAACACACTCATACACATAAAATAATAAAATATTTTTAAAAAGAAAGAAAAAAGCATCTTTAGTACCTACTCACCTGGAGTTCTCCTTTTCCCATCTCAGGTTAGGGGCCAGGAGATCTCTTTTGGAATTGAAGTCTAGAGCTAGGGTTGCTAAGTGTAGCTGTATGTGAACATTTTCAGAAATGCTTGTTAAAAAGTTTTTCATTAAACTTAACCCCTACTGCAAGAGAAATTATGAAGCAGAACACAGGAGCTTCAACATCCTGAAGCCCTGATTCATTCCTTCCTAGTTAGGGGACTCAGCAACTTATTTGGCCATTTAATGTGTTTCCTCACCTGTAAATGGGGCACAGAACTTACTTCCTGGGTAATGTTTTTTTTTTTTTTTTTCTTATGAGGTCATCATTATGGAGACTAAATGAAAAGCACTGTGATGAGTGCCAGGCACATAGTAAGCATTATGTACGTGTATTAACTGAAATCAGATTCCCTTCCTAGGCATTTGAGGAGGCTCATCTGACCTCCCTGGACCCCATCAAGCAGTTTGCTTCCTGGTTTGAGGAGGCTGTTCAATGTCCTGACATTTGGGAAGCCAATGCCATGTGTCTGGCTACTAGCACCAGGTATGCATAGTGTGCATGGGCCCCTGCGTGGGTGGGTGCAGATGGAGTTGAAAGCTTAGAAAGATCTGAACTGAATACACAGCAACTTTTTGGTTCCAGCCCTGTTATTTAAATGTTGGGTGAACTCAGGCAAGTCACTTGTCTGCTCTGAGACTGAGTAAACCAGCCCTTACTGGAAAACCAAAGGTCAGATCACCAAATTCCCCTTCGATATCAAATGCACTTCCTTATACATCTCTGTCCTGATGTACCCACTCATGACCCCTTGCTTCTGTCATGTTCCCATCTGCCAAAGTCCCATTGCCCTTCAGGATCTGTGTCTCGGGACTACTCCACAAGGCCCTCTCTCTACTAAAACCTAGCATAATGGTTGGATCTAAACAATCAGTCAAACCCTTTGAGGAATCTCTTGTTAGCCTTTTATTCACCTCTTCTTGTCTTGTTCTCCAGGCTTGAAGGCAGGGCTCTTACACTGTCCTCTGGGTATCTCCTAGAGCTCTTAGTAGAGGACCTGCCATCATAGCCCCTTTATGTGATCCCTAAGCACTGGCTCACTGCTTTATTGATGATCCTTGCTCATTCAGCCTTAAATTTTCCAGGACTGCCATAGCAAAGTCCTATGGACTGGGTAGCTTAAACAACAGAAGTTTATTTTTCATACTTCTGGAGGTTGAAGTCTAAGATCAAGGTGCTGTCAGGGATGGTTTCTGGAGACAACTTCTGAAGACAGCTGTCCTTTTGCTGTGTCCTCATATGACTTTTGAGAGGACATACACTCTGTGGTGATGTCTCTCTCTTACAAGGATACCAGTCTTATAGATTAGGGCCCCATCGCTTTGACTGCATTTAACTTTAGTTGCTTCCCCTAAAGGCCCTAACTCCAAATACAGTCACATGGGGGATTAGGCTTTTAACATAGGCTCTTAGAGGAACACAGTTCAGTCCACAGAGTCTCAGATAGTGGTATCACTCTTATACCCCATGGTGGAAACAGGTCACCCAAGTGTAGAATAGGGGGCACAGCTGAGGGGTTGGTCAGGAGTGAGGACATGGAAATGGGTTCTGACCCGGTGCTCTGCTGTGTGCCCCTAGAGATGGAAAACCCTCTGCCCGCATGTTGCTGCTGAAGGGCTTTGGCAAGGATGGCTTCCGCTTCTTCACTAACTACGAGAGTCGGAAGGGAAAAGAGCTGGTGAGGGTCAGGGGAAATCCTCCCAGGGCTGGCAGGGCTAGCCTCCACCCTCGTCTGCATGGTCATCTCATCCCACTCCACCCCATCCACTTCTCTCTCTGCTTAGCCTCCCTCCTGCCTCCAGGCCTTTACATTCTCCGAAAATAAAGGAACCACTCCCTCCTCCATCATCAGCTGCCATTCCTTTAGGTCACATGTTGCCTCCTCACAAAAGCCTTCCTTGGCTTTTATGCTGAGTCAGCCTCTGGTACTGTTTGCTGGCATTATAATTTGCAGCTTTATTTTCTACCATGTTTTTCAGCTAGTGACTATGCATTTTTTTATGTGATTACATGATTGATATTTGTCTCCTCTGCTACCCAGTAAGCACTAAGGCAGTAGAAGATGCATCTCTTTCTTAATCTGTTTTATCCCTAGCACCTCTCCTGAGGTGCACCAGGAGTTGGCATTTCGTATGCATTCGGTGAGTCTAAAATGAGCAGCCTTCCCTGAGTTCATGCGACCCAGACATGCTTTTTCTCATTGTCTGCTAAAGATCTATGCATGGGACTGGAGAGATGGCTCAGCAGTTAAGAGCACTGGCTGCTCTTGCTGAGGACCTGGGTTCTATTCCCAGCACCCACATGGTTGCCAACAGTCATCTGTAACTCCAGTTCCAGGGGATCCGATGCCCTCTTCAGGTCTCTGAGGGTATTGCAGGACCCCGGTGCACTTCCATGCCAGCAGAACACTTACTTATACACATTTTTTAAAAATTGCTTTTTTTTAATCTATGGATGAAACTGGGCGTGGTGGCTCATACCTCCTAGTATGCAGGAGGCTGAGGCAGGAGGATGGCCACAAATTCCAGCCAGCCTAGGCTACAGATGGATCCCATCTCAAAACATAAACAAAACATAACTATGGTGAATGAAATGGCCAAGTGTCTCACACACACACTAACATCAGAGTCAAACTGGCTTAAACCCAGCTCTACCACTTACTGTGTGAACTTCAGCATGTTACTCAACCTCTTTAAAAATTTTCTATGTTTTAAGATGTTCATTTATTTTTATTTTATGTGTATTAATGTTACGCCTGCATATATTAAGTACACTGTTGTGCAGTGCCTGCAGAGGCCAGAAGAGAGAGTTGGATCGCCTGGAACTGGAGTTACAGACTATTGTTAGCTGCCATGTGGGTGCGGGAATCAAACCTGGGTCTTCTGCAAGAGCAGCCAGCACACTTAACTGCAGAGCCTTCTCTCTAGCCTCAACCTCTAAACTGTCTTTAGATAATCTTTGAGGTTTGTTTGTTTGAGATATGGTCTCACTATGTAACCCTGGCTGGCCTGGAACTCATAGTTTTTTCTCTTCTACTGGGTTCCAGGGATCAATCAAACTCAGGTCATCTCAGAAATTCACCTGCTTCTGCCTCCCTGCTGGTACTAAAGGTGTGCGCCACCACACCTGGCCCCCCTTGAAGCTTTAAATGAGATGTTGAGGACTGGAGAGATGGGTCAGTGGTTAAAAGTGCTGGCTGCTTTTGCAGAGGACCTGCGTTCAGTTCCCAGCACCCACATGGTAGCTAACAACTATCCATAACTCTAGTTCCAGGGGATCTGACACCCTTTTCTGGCCTCCATAGGCATTGTAGGCATGGGTGTACTTACATACATGTGTGAAAAACACTCATACCCATAAATCATAAATAAATAAATATTTTAAATAGGCAGGCATGGTGGTACACACCTTTAATCCTAACACTTGGGAGGAAAAAGCAGGAAGATCTATGTGAGTTCAAGGCCAGCCTTCTCTACATAATGAGTTCCAAGCCAGCCGGGGTTACAGGGAGACCTGTCTCAAAAAGACCAAAAAAAAAATTTTTTTTTTAAATAAAATAAATGAGATGTTGACAGTAAATGCATCTGCTGATGGTTTCTGCTGCTTAGCTCCTGTCTTCCCCTCTGTATGCTGGATACATCTTTTTCCTGGCCTGGGAGAAATCTTTTTCCTGGTTTGATAGCCATCTATGGCTTCTCTCTTATTTCCAGGACTCTAATCCGTTTGCTTCTCTTGTCTTCTACTGGGAACCTCTTCACAGACAGGTGAGTGATCCCCAAAACAGGCTCCAGTGGGCTGGGTGGTCTGGGGTGAATGTATGGATGAACCAAGGGAAGACCTTGAGACTAGGCATGTATTCTGCTTAGGCCAGGGCACTCTGTCTCTCACATAGCTCTTAGAAAGTCCAGTTGGAGCTAGGAGTGTTGGAATGGTGGGTAGAATGAAGAACTGAGAGAAACAGAGCCTGTGCTGATGGGAAGGGCTGGTATTGTTAAATATCATTCAGCCAGCATCATCCTCAAGCAGGTGCGTGTGGAAGGCCCTGTGAAGAAGTTGCCTGAGGAGGAAGCCCAGTCCTACTTCCACTCCCGCCCCAAGAGCAGCCAGATTGGGGCAGTGGTCAGTCACCAGAGTTCTGTGATCCCTGATCGTGAGGTAAGTGGGGCTCCTGCAACATCCTCTTGGTTCATAGGGACCTAGGCTCATCCCCAGAAGCTGTCACCAGGAGATACCAGGGCCTTCCTGCTCTGGCAAAGAGAAAGAGACAGTGTCTTGAGGGGAGAAAGACAGGAAGATGGGAAACGGGCCCCTTTGGCCCTTCTGTTGACAGTGCTCCAGTCTGTCTTGTTCATCTGTTTCCCATACCTGGCCCGGGTCCTGTGGAGCCTATGTTTGTAAGTCCTTAAATGAATCATTGCTTGGTCCTGCCTTCTCCTCTATCTCCTCCTGAATAGTACCTGAGAAAGAAAAATGAGGAACTGGAGCAGCTCTACAGGGAACGAGAGGTGCCTAAGCCAGAAAACTGGTGAGTGGTGCCTGGTGATCATCCAGAAAGGGGCCCTGTCTATGGCATTACAGATCTGTTCCTCCAGGCAACTCTCATCAGATGCATCCCAGTATTTCCTTGGAAGACAGCTTGGGATGAGAGGTGAGGAAGAGACCATAAACCTCTGCTTCTTCTCATAGGGGTGGCTACATCCTGTACCCCCAGGTGATGGAGTTCTGGCAAGGCCAAACCAACCGCCTGCATGACCGCATTGTCTTCCGGCGAAGCCTACCAACAGGAGACTCCCCTTTGGGGCCCATGACCCACCATGGAGAGGAAGACTGGCTCTATGAAAGACTTTCACCTTGACTCTGGACTTAGGAAATTAGAGAATCATCAGCTGAAATACAGTTGGGGAGAAGTGCTAAGAGAGAGTGAAGGATTGGGAGCCAGGCCTACCTTTCTGCATATTTGTGTGTGTGTGTGTGTGTTGTGTGATTTAGGATTAACCTGGGCCTTGCTCATCCTGTAAGCACTCTACCACCAAGCTATATTCCCAGCCTCTTTTTACTTTTTATTTTGAGACTAAGTTGCCCAGGCTGGCCTTGAACTCACTGTGTAACCCAGGCAGGTCTTGATCTTGAGATCCTCCTGCCTCAGCCTTCTGAGTAGCAGGGATTACAGGCCTGTGTTACCAGGCCCAACTCAAATACTTTTAAACCAAGCCCATTTCCCTTCTTACCCCTGACATCTAGGCCTCTCCAGGGCCCACTCTCTGAGTTCTCTGTATTCAGTTGGGTCTCAATTAGCAGTGTGACAGTGTCATAGAGAATCACAAATTAGAAAGAATCCCACAATTCTCAACCTTGCCTTTGAGTTTTGGAATAGCCCTGTCTTGGGGATAGCAGCTGGCAGCTGATGTGACTCTTTTGATGTGACTTTCTAGTGATGGAGTGAGTGGTCAAGTTGCAGATGTGCCATGGAAAGGAGCCAGACCCAGTGTTTGCTGTGGCTCAGCCGGGTCAGAGAACTTATTTGTTCTGGTTGGCCTTGAACTTATCATTCTGGATACTGCTCTTCTTTTGACTTTGTGGATGTGTGCTTTAGTCTCTATTACTGACAAGGCTTCCTCCCAACCCAACCCTCTCCTGTGCTGATCCCCTCTCAAGCCTGGGAGCAGGAAGGCACATGGACCCTGTAGCCACCTGCTGGGTATCCTTACCTACCTCGCCCTTTTTGCTGTTGTGCCACAGACTGCGACTTTTATGAGTACATACAAGTGGGTTGTTATGAAGGAGTGCTGTACCCCACCTCTGTTATGAGAGCTGTATATGACCCCAGCTTTGAGCATGGTCTCAGCTCCTTTTAGTTCTGTGTCCATTAGTTACCATCCAAGTGTGAAATAAAAACCTGCCAGTCATGTGTGATGTTAATGTTTAACCTAGCCTCATCTTGCCCACCCCCACCAGGCACCTCAGGAGGCTGGGGAAATCACAGGACTTTCCTCACTCCTTGCTTTAGGCCATGAAGGTTGGGTCCAGCAGGGGGAGCCTATTGGCCAGGGTTGGCCCCTCCTGGGCAGTGGAGGCCAGTTCCAGGCAGCCTCCTCTGCCTCCCCCTTCCTCCTCTTGGGTTGTGTCCCAGTGAAACTGTGGTCGATAACCCTGTAGCCTCTCCCAGCTCCTGGCGTACTTGTTCTCTTGGTTCCTCCTCCTCCCTGGGTCTCCTGGAAACTTGCAGCTGCATCTATCAGGACTCCCTGGGGCAATCAGATCTCACTCAAGCCTGCCAGCCTATGAGTTGAGGGGCCTATGCACAGATTCTCTGGAAGATTCCTGCAGAGATCACTCTGAGGCTGTGAGCAGGGTGGGCATGCAAAGACCAGAGACTAGACACTCAGGAAGAGGGGTAACAAAATACTGGAGTAGGTACAAACAAAATACCAGTTAGGGCTGGGTGTGGTGATGCATACCTTTAATCCCAGCACTGGGGAGGCAGAGGCAGGCAGAGTTCTGTGAGTTTAAGGCCAACCTGGTCTACATAGTTCCAGGCCAGCTCCCAGGGGCTACAGGGAGACCCTGTTTCAAAAAGACAAATAAATAAATAAATAAATAAAATACAGTTAGGTAGAGCGTGGATATGCTTGGGATATACCATGGAGAGTGCTGCCTAGCATATGTAAGACATAAACCAAGTGTTGTGGCCTGTGCTTATAATCCCAGAATTTGGGAGGCTAGGGCAGGAGGATTATACTGAGTTTGAGGATAATCTGAGCTATGTAGTTCCAAGCCAGCCAGCCTGGGCTACAGTGTAAGATTCTGTCTTTAAAAAAACAACCAGGGCTGGAGAGATGGCTCAGCGGTTAAGAACACTGGTTGTTCTTGCAGAAGACCCAGGTTCGAATCCTAGCACCCACATGGCAGCTAACAACTGTCCATAACTCCAGTCTCAGGGGATCCAACAGCCTCTTCTGTCCTCCACGGGCATTGCACGACATGGGTGCACTTACCTACATGCAGGTAATGCACACACATAAAAATAATAAACTATTTAAAAAATTTTTTTTAAAAAAAAACAAAAAACACCTAAATAGATACAAAACACAAGTCTATGCCCAGGGCTCATCTTCATTCCCTATCTGGGGTAGGTAACCCCAGGATAGGCTGATGTGGGGAGTGCCTACAGAATAGGGTCTGGAGATTATCCACCCTCCAGGCCGGCATGCTTGCCCCCTCCCATTGGTTCCAGAGCCTGCACAGCCCCCTTAGGGGTTCTCACTTCCCAGCAGCCCAAGACCTGAACTTGGCCCTGTCTCACCTGGAGTCCCATTGTGCAGAAGGAAACTGATTGTTCCTGCCTACTCCCTGCCTTCACCACATATAGAAGATGCCACTCCAGAATGGAAGGTGCTTGGGGGTAAGGGGACAGGGTCACATGCACAGGCTAACTCTCTGACTTGGTTAACTAAGTGCCTAGGGCAGAGATTTAAGCTCTCTGAGCCTCAGTTAACTAGATGCAGCGCAGCACCTGCACCGTGATAGGAAGATTAGGCAAGATACCCTGTCATAAGCAGTGCGTGTGATAGTTAACAGCACCCAAGGCACCCTTTGGTAAGCACTCTGTACATAGTGGTTAACAGCAGGCAGGGCTCCAAGTTTAGGGAAAGTCCAAGCTCCTCATGGGAGACTTTATGAACTACGTAACTAGTAAGACCTAGAAAGCTCTGGGCAGGGGGAACAGGTGGGAGAAGCAGCACCCCTGAGCTTGTTTTCCATTCCTTCAGCCCCTGGTCTGCCTCTCTTATCCCAGGTTCCCCCTGCCTGGGTGAGGTACCTAACAAAGGTCTCCTTGTGTAGGTCTGTTTGTTTTGGCAATAAACTTCCTCAGCAACAGCTACTTAGGGTGGGGTGGCCCATTGGACTTTGAGGAACTGACCTGAAGGCTGCAGGACCACATTGTTCATTGAGTGGCCACCTTGTTCTCTCCCTGTTCCCACCAAGAGCTCCAGGGATTTGACTGGTTTTTTTTTTTGTTGTTGTTGTTGTTTTCCAGTTCCCAGGTCCTGTGGCTTGAGAAAGAATCAGACCTAGCATTACAGGATGAGAATTCTCACCTGATTCTTAAACTGAAGCTGTGGGAACTGTAGTATTCCGTAATAAAGGAGGAAGGGAACCATTTTTTTCAAGACAAGATTTTGCTATATAGTCCAGTCTGGCCTTGAATTTGTTTTTTGTTTTGTTAAATTTATTTATTTTATGTATATGAGTGTATTGCCTGCATGTATGTCAGTATACTCATGTCATGCAATGCTCTGGAGGTCAGGCGAGGGCATTGGACTCCCCTGGAACTGGAGTTATGCATGGTTGTTAGCTGCCATGTGAGTGCTGGGAATCGAAACTAGTCTTTTGCAAGAGTAACTGGTGCTCTTAACTGCTGATCCATCTCTCCAGCCCCGGCCTTGAATTTGTGATCCTCCTACCACCCTATGAAGTAGGTATTATAACCCCCTTTCCAGGGGAGGAAATTGAAGCTCAGAGGAAGGCTGTTTTTCTTTTTTAATGTGTATTGAGTGTTTTGCCTGCATGTATGTAAGTGCACCCATGTGTACAATGCCCACAGGCCAGAAGAGATCCCCCGGAACTGGAGTTACAGAAATTAAGAGCTGCCATGTTGGGAAGTGAACCTGGGTCCTCTGCAAGAGCAGCCATTTCTCCTCTCAAACAACCTCAATGGAGTTTTTCTTTCCTTTCGTTTCTGAGATGTTCCAGGCAGGCCTTGAACTTGCAATCCTTTTGCCTCACCAAGTGCTGAAATTATAGAGATTTACCATCATACCTGGCTTCAGAGAAATTTTTTTTTGAGGGGAAGGGACAGGGTCTTAAAATGTAGCCCTGGTTGGCCTAGAACTTGCTCTATAGACCAGGCTGGCCTCTGACTCACAAAGATCCAACTGCTTCTGCCTCCTGAATGTTTGGATTAGAAGTGCGCATCACTTTTCCCAGCTTGAAACCTTTTTTGTTGTTGTTGTTTTTATTTATTTATTATTTATTTATTTATTTATTTATTTTTGGTCTTTTTGAGACAGGGGTTCCCTGTAGCTCCAGCTGCCCTGGCACTCACTATGTAGATCAGGCTGGCCTGGATCTCACAGAGATCTGCCTGCCTCTGCCTCCCAAGGTTGTTGTTTTCTTTTAAATGTCCCCAAGATCACCCAATTACTAAGAGGTGGCACCAGATTTTGAATCTTGTTCCCAAACTGACCTGCTGAGAACCAGAGACTTTGGGCCTGTCACCAAAGGTTGGCAACACTCTCTTAGAGCCTGATGGCCTCTTTGCTGCCTAGAGGGATCTGGTCACCAAGGTGTGACTAGCTCCTTCTTCTCTCCCCTGCCATGCAAAGCCTAGATTGATGGCAGCATTAGTGACACAGCCCCTACACAGTCACATTTGGGGGCTCTTCCTGAAGTTTGAAGGAACAGTATGGGTCTGAAGGTCCACTTCACTTACACAAAGGGAGGGAAGGGACATCAAAACAGCCATCTCCAAAAACATGAGATAAAAGCATTAATAAGTCCACTGCATTGGCAGCATTGTTTATTACAAAGAAAAACCTACCATTACTTTTCAAATAAAATTCAAGGCTCCAGGATTCACTTCTGGGGCTGTTCCATCTTAAATACTATAGAGGAAGGAGTGGAGGTAATGGACTGCTTTTAGCTCCAGTTTCCCATCCACTCCTCCAGTTTGGACCCTTGGGCCAGTGAGGCTTCTCTTTGGGGGTATATGACTGGGCACCCACACAAGTGGTGGCCAAGACAGGAACCCAGGGGGTGATCACTGATCTAGTCTTCTGTCGTACCCCGGGGTGTGCCTATGTCCTCTGCCACTCCATTCTTGGGAGCAAAGTTCCAGGAAGTTTACTTCTTGTATTAAGAGGTGAACTCAAGTTCAACATTTCCTCTGGCGCCAAAGAAACCAGTGCTATCACATGGTTTCTGGAAAATGTGCTCTCCTAGGATTGGGTCCAGGAAACAGTCACAGGTAGAGAAAGTAGAGGGAGTGGCAAGTCAAACTCACCCTTAACCCTGCACCCAGGGAAAAGGTAGAGTCCATTGGGTTCCCTGTCTATGCTCCCCGTACATGCTGCTGCCCGGAGCTCTGCCACTGTGCCAAGGAGAGCTGTGCTTTGGAGTGGCAGTTTTCATGTTGAATGGGAGTGCTTTTGTATGTGATCATGGGGAGAAGGAGGACCCTAGGATCTCCCAGGCCTTTCATAAAGCCAGAGCACATAAATACAAACCTAAGAATCAGGTGTTTCCTGCCAGCAGGTATTCACCGTCCCCCCGTGGCTTCAGCTATGACCCAAGAGGTCAGTGTGGCAAGCTCCTGTCTCAGACCCCACCATTGGCAGGGCACAGGAGGTACTAGCATCCTCACCCCCACCCCTTCACTGTCCTTTGTCCTCCCTGTCATCAAAGAGGCTGGGGTTCTCCGCCAGCATGGCCCGAACTTTTTTCTTCTCCTTAAAGCGCCCTGAATTGGAGACTTTGACATGCTTGCCCTTCGTGTTCTTGTCCACAATCTTCTCCAGGCGGCTGTTGAAGTCGCTGTTGGTGCCTTCGGCGTCGGGCCCTGGGGGCTCTGCAACTCCCTCCATTTGGCTATAGGTGTCAGGGATCTCATAGAGCACTTTGGGAGTGGATTTCTTTTTCCGGAGAAAGGTCAGCTTCCACCAACCAACTTCAGTCATGGTGGTACCTGGGCCCAGGCAGGGCTTCCTGCTGGAGCAGGTAGGAGAGACAAAGGTCAGTGGTGAAGTGGGTAGGCACCTGGACCAGCCCTCGCTAGGCTCAGTCATAATTACTATTTTAAGAGTTGAAGAGCCAGGTGTGGTGGTTTATACTCATAATCCCAGCACTCAGGAGACTGAGGCAGTAAGGTCATGAATTTGAGGCCAGCCTGAGCTACATAGAGAAACCGTCTCAAAAAACCAAACCAAAGCCAGGCATGGAGGCTTTAATCCTAGCACTTGGGAGGCAGAGGCAACAGATCTCTGTGAGTTCAAGGCCAGCCTGGTCTACATAGTGAGTGCCAGGCCAGCTGGGGCTACCGGGAGACCCTGTCTCAAAAAGACCAAACAAAACAAAACAAACAAAACAAACAAACCAAGGCTGAGCATGGTGGCAAACACCTTTAATCTCAGCACTTGGAAGGCAGAGGCAGGCGAATCTCTGTGAGTTCGAGGCCAACTTGGTCTACGTAGTGAGTGTCAGGCTAGCTGGGGATACAGGAGATCCTGTCTCAAAAAGACCAAAAAAACAAACAAAAACAACAATAAAAAAAACCCAAATGTCAGTCATGGTGGCACGTGCCTTTAATCCCCAGCATTCTCTAGGCTCAGTCATAATTACTGGCTATTTTAAAAGTCGAAGAGCCAGGAGTGGTTTAGGCCCATAATCCCAGCACTCAGGAGGCTAGTCTGGTCTATATAGTGAGTTCCAGGGCAGCAGGAGGCATGGAATCCCTCTCTCAAAAAACAAAAACAAAACCAAAAAAACAAACCGAGACTAGAGAGATACCTCAGCTGTAGAATGCTTGCCTTGTATGCACCACACCCTGAGTTCAAACCCCCAGCACCACAATAATTGATTGATTGGTTGATTGATCAAATAAAGAGATTTCATTAAAAAAAAAAAAAAGCCAGGTGTGGTGGCATATACCTTTAATCCCAGCACTTGGGAGGCAGAGGCAGGAGGATCTCTGTGAGATAGAGGCCAGCCTGGGCTACATAGTAAGACTGTGAGAAACAAAAACAAAAATAAAACAAAAAAATCAAAAACAACAAACCAAGCAAAAAATAGTGAAGAAAGAACTGAAGGTAGGACTGAGGGTTTGGGAAATGAGCCATTAAAGCAACCATTAACAGGGAGGCTACTGAATTGGGCAGAGGAACAGTGGGACAGCCCTACCCCATCACCCTACAGAGCTGTAGGAAGCTTTGAGGTCGGTCCTTCCAAGCTCTCAGGCCACAGGCTGGGGAAACCCCTTGCCTGGTTACACAGTATGCAAGCCCTTTGTCACCATGATCAAGTGCTTCCTACCACAGTCCAGTGTTGACAGACCATGGATGAATCATACAGGCAGAAGCACACTGTGTGTTTTGCTTGAAACTTGTAACAAAATTAAGTAGAATTTGTGATAGACCCAGCCATTTATCATTCCCAATAGTGACCAGCAGAAGCCTTCCCAAGGAGAGGTCCTGGGCCCTGACTAGCCTCCTCACTTCTGGCAAATGACTTCTCTGGAACTCAGCAGTCGGGTGGAGTCCAGAGGTATATATGAGACATGAGCATGACAGGTTGTACCTACCATATGGGCACCCAATGGACAGGGTACCTCGCTCACAAACTGTGTACCCTGACATGGAGCCACCTCTGCACAAAGGCGCTTATGAGCTAGAGGGTTCTAGAATGAGGTAACCTGGCCATCACTGATATCTGGGGTATAGAAGAAAGACCAAGGGGAAAGACTAGAGGCTTTAGCTGAATGACACAAAGACATCTCTAGGCCTGGAGAAGTTGGTGGTCTTAAATGACCCTAGGAACCAGAAGCTGGTTCTTAAATGACCCTAGGCATGGGCTGGGACAGTTCTAAGGAAGGAAGGTACAGAAATCAGAAAACAGCAGAAAGCTAGATGGCCAGGTAACCCAGACCAGGCATGCCTCACCTTCATTCTAAAAGCTAATGATGGGCCGGGTGTAGTGGCACATGCCTTTAGTTCCAGCACTTGGGAGGCAGAAGCAGGTGGATCTTTGTGAGTTCGAGGCCAGCCTGGTCTACATAGTGAGTTCCAGGACAGCTGGGGCTACAAGGAGACTCTGTCTCAAAAAGACAAAAAAAAAAAAAAAAAAAAAAAAAAAAAAAAGTTGATGGGCTGGTGAGATGGCTCAGTAGGTAAAGGCACCTGCTGCCAAGCCTGATGACCTGAGTCCTGTCCCTACAACCTACATGATGGTGGAAGGAGAGAACTGACTCTCTACATACATGTGCCATGGTGCATACACAAATAAAAATATAACTTTTAAAGAGCGAATGATGGACGGGGCTGCGGTTACAGCTCAGTGGTGGAGCCTTTGCTTAGTATACTCAAATTCCTGGGTTTAAACCCCAGCACCAAAAGCCGGGCACGGTGGCACACATACTCAGGAAACAGAGGCAGGTAGATCTCTGTGAGATTGAGGCCAACTTGATCTACAAATTGAGTTCCAGACTAGCTGGGGCCACAGAAGACCCTCTCTCAAAAAGCCCCCCCAATAACAATCCCTGGCACCAAACCCCTCAAATCCTGATGGACTTCATTGCAATTTGTAAAATTACCAGAAAGAAAAATAAAAAAAATGAGTATTAGTGGGTTTCTTTATGCAGAAGAAATAGATAGGGTACTGTTTGTTCACCCTCTGACTTTTTGATTTCCAGACTTCCATAACACATATGGATATTTGGAACAAGGAAGCTTATCAAATTCAGAAAAAAAAGAACTAGGTTGGCAATAAGTTGAATGCCACCCCTTGCATGCCACCCCTTGCTGCAGTGTCTCCTGTCCCTCTTCACGCGAATCTTATCCCCCAGGCCCAGGACACGCCTCATTTCTTTGTCCAAGAAGCAGACCTATGTTTCCTACACTGCCCCTTCACCTGGGCTTAAGTAGCAGAAGCTAAAGGAAGATCCTGTATAGCTCCCACTTAAGAGTGTAGGGGAAGAGGGCAAGAGGGGCACTTCCAGGCATCCAGAGTGGTAAGCACACCGACGGACAGCCTGAGAGGTTTGCCTTGGCCACATGCCCTGCCTGGGCTTAGTACAGCCTTGCACAGAACTTGGTGTTCCAGAGTGGGTTACTGGAAGGACTTGTGGGAGGGCAGGGAAGGAGGGATAGGGCACCTGCTTGGTAGCTGCCTTGTAGATCTACCAGCGCCCATCTGGAGCTGCCAGAGAATTGAGACCGGGAAGGATAGCTGATACTCTAACTGTCTGGTTTCCTAGCCCTATGTGAGAGAGGGGCTTCTGCCTAAGCCAGTTAAATATACCCATTTTAATGAGTAGCGTGTATCAGGTTGGCACTCAAAGGGCCTGTCTCCCCTTGGTGTAGAGGACCAGGTCACAGGAACTTGTCAGAAAACAACAGAAATAATAATAATCTCATACTTGCCTTGGTACCTGTGTCCTAGACTTGTGCCCTTCACTCTCTAGGATGCCGTCCTGTCTCTTTTGCCCAGGAGGACACCTAAGTACCAGTAAACAGGTGTTTGCCCCTTGAGGCAAGCATAACATATGAAAATCTGAATTTGCAAACATAAATTTGCAGATTATTCTTTGTTTTTCATGAGAACCCAGCTATAAGAATCTTTAAACAGGGCACATAAAAGACAGTAATCTGATTTTTAAAAAATAGGCGATAGGCTGAGTGTGGTGGTACACACCTGTAATCTTAGTACTCAGGAGGCCAAGGCAAGAAGATCACAGTGAGTTCAAAGCCAGTCTGATCTATCTAACAAGTTCTAGTTCAGCCTGGCCTACAGAGTGAGACCTTGTCTTAAAAGCTGAAACAAAATAAAAACAATGTCTCCACCCAAAGTAATTTGGTATACAAGTTTCCAGATCTCCAGAGTCTTAAAAAGTAAGATCTACATGCCCACTCACAATCACAGAAGATCCAGCAGGGGACACACTGATCTAGAATTGGTAAGGCTTGCAGTCAGCTTGCAGCTTGCACAGGGCCCTGAGCTGCCAAGCCAAGGGCTAGGCCCTTGCCCTAGGGCCCTGTAGTGTGGGAGGATGGAAATCAGGCCCTGAGGATGCCAGTTCCACCTCTGCTGTTTGTGTAACTTCAGGGCCCATGAAAGGCTTTGTGAAACTTGCCACCCCCCTGCCTTCAGTGGCCAGCACCTTGGCATGCACATGAATCCCCAGGACAGGCCCCACCACCCCAACTGGGACTTTGTGGGCTTTTCTGAAAGGCTTTGACCAGACTGACCCAAGTCCTTTCTGAGCTGGGACAAGTTAAGCATTGACTGGGGGTTGGTGGGGGGGATGTAGAGGTGAGGGATCAAGTCAGTTTCCAAGTCAGAATCCTGGAACCCCTTCCTCTCCAGCTGTATGGGCTTCAATGGCCCCCGACTGTCCTGAGTGAGACTGGGTAGGAACTGGGAGATGCTCCTGCCAGACAGCCAGATACATGTTCCAACTTGGGGGTCTGGGGGTTGGGCTTGAGTTCAGGAAGAGTTAAGGGTGAAACTTCCTCAGCAGGAGGGCCACTGGAGGACCGGGTAGGCTCTAAGAAAGGTCAGTAGGATGAGACAGGAGAGACAGAACCTAGGTTCCTCCTCCTGCTGGTTTGTTCACCATGGAGGCAGAACTCGGAGCCCTGACCAGAGCCTGTGCCTTGGTTTTCCCCACCCACCAGCGCACTGCCTGTACCTGTAATCCAGACTGCTCTGGGTTGGAGGCGAGACTTTCCCTAAAGAAGTAATTGAGTGTAGGAGCTTCCCCCGGAGGCTGAGACTGAAAGAGGAGAGAGTGTCTCCAGGGTGTCGTGCTGGCCACACTCAGCCGGAGAAGTGGGTAGGAGCAGCTGCAGGTCAGGTGTGAGAGAAACAGGTGCGGGAGCAGGTACCTGCTCCGTTGCCCTGCAGCACCGGGGAGTCAAGGTGAACCTGAAACCTGGCCCCTCCCGGCTAAGTAAACAGAAGCGAAGGCCAGACCAGGCTTATGAATATTCATCACCCCAGAAATCCAATCCCAGCGCCCCTGCATCCACCCAGAAGCCAGGGTCCTCCTGGGATCTTCATACTGGAGGACTGAATCCCTTGGGACGTCTGGGATGGGGACTCCCGGAGCCTCTCTTCTCGGTTTCCCGACTCTGGTGTCTGATTGCATTCTGAAGCCACTGTGAAACTCACCCCCACCCATTTAACCTTCCAAAGACGCTCAGACCCCTTTTCAGCCTGGGCCATCACCAGGATGTTGCTCCGGGGAAACAGTGAAGAAAAAGGGTTAAGGGCTGTTGCTCTGGTTGCCGGCTGGGCATCCCAGCTCCCTTTGAACTCCCTGAGTCGAAACCAGTCCCTGGTTGAACTGGTTGGCTGACCGGTTCCCAGGCTGTCAGACACCCCCACACACAAGCCCCAGAGCTCCTGGGCAGGCACTGGGTGGGGGCCTAGGGTTCCCCCTGATCTGAAGGGCCTCTTCTCAAGATCTCACTAGAGGAAAAGGGGCACCCTGGTGGGTGAGGCTCTCTAGACCACCACAAGCATCCTCCTTTTGCTTAGAGGTGAACATCAGGGCCCTTAAAATGGCATGTAAAAGCCAGCTGCAATGGTGCAGGTTTGTAACCCCATCATGCAGAAGGCTGAGGCTGGAGAATCATAAATTTGAGGCCAGCCTGGGCTATATATGGAGTATGTCTCAAAATACTGAAATCACATGCAGAATTCTCTATGGGCAGAGGAACAACGGGGTTTCTACTTAGACTTACACTTTTCTCAAACTCCCAAAGAGAAGGGTAGCAGTCTCCTACCCCAAAGCACCACTTGTTCAACTTCCTCCAAACTTGCACCAGTCTAACAAAGGGCCTTACTAGGATTGTAAAATTGGCAAAACCCAGAGCAGCTTCTTAGGAAAGGAAGAGCTGGGCATGTGGCACAAGGCTGTAATCCCAGCATTTGGGAGGAGTTGGAGGCAGGAGGAGCAGAGGTTCAAGGCCAGCTTCACCTACTTGGTGGGTCCAAAGTCAGGCTGGACTACATGAGATCCTGCCTCAAATAAGGAGGAACAGGAGGAAGGGGGAGGGGAGAGGAAGAAGAGGAGGAGGGGAGGAAGAGGGGGAAGGTGTAGGCAAGCAGGGCAGAGTGAGTGTGTGTGTGCATGGGGGGGAACCTCCCACAAACCCCCTCAGCCTGGCTGCTGGCCTTGGAGAACTGTTACATAGCTGTCCTGAGGTGTTCTCTCTTTAAAAATTATTTTACTTATTATTATTTTTTATTTTATGTGTATGAGTGTATTGCCTGCATGCAAGTACACCCATGTCATGCAATACCCGTGAAGGTCAGAAGAGAGTGTTGGATTCCCCTGGAACTGGAGTCAGGAATGGTTGTAAGCCACCTTGTGAGTGCTGGGAACTGAACCCGGATCCTCTGAAAGAGCAGCCAGTGCTCTTAACCGATGAGCCACTTCTCCAGCCCCTTGAGGCATTCTCTTGCCCCTGAGATGCAGAGTGGAGAACCACTGTTGCACATCCAGGGCTCTCAACATACCTACCACCTTCTTCCCTGGATTGGGTGTGTCTGCTGGACGCAGAGCAAGGTATACGGGGGAGAAAAGGCATAAAGCTCACCTTTCCCTGGCTCTCTCTCCAAGATATATTTTGACGACTCTCTACCCTAAATAGTTCCTCTCTACCCTAAATAGTTCCTTGATCCTAAACAGCCTTTGGGTGGACAAGCCTTCCCATATCATGGCCCACAGTGGAGCTCCCTTGCCCTGGCTTCCCTAGGATGAAACCTCCATAGCCCTCCAGCCTTGTCTTCTTCCTATCCTTCCCTCTCAACTCTCCTGAACCCAGGCCCCATTCTTTACCTACTTTCATGGGTACAGAGGCTGCTTAGAGGGGTGAGATTAAGAATGCTTGCCGTTAAATTAAAAAAAAAATTTTTTTTTTTTTAATTAAAGGCTGGAGAGATGGCTCAGTGGATAAGAGCCCTGGCTGCTCTTGCAGAGGACTCGGGTTTGGTTCCCAACACCCACGTAGCAGCTAACAACCATCTATAACACCAGTTCCAGGAGATCCAACACCCTCTTCTGGCCTCTGCGGGCATTGCACAGGTATACTAACATCCATCCATACACATAAAAAAATAAAATAAAAAACAAATGCTTGCTGTGCTCAGGGTTAGAAATGGCCTACCCATCTCTTGGGAACCCAAATACCAGGGATTTTCTTGTTCTCCTTAGAACTAGCTCTCATTTTTTTTTTTTTTTTTTTTTTTTGGTCTTTTTGAGACAGGGTCTCCCTGTAGACTTGTAGACCCAGCTGTCCTGGAACTCGCTATGTAGACCGGGCTGGCCTTGAACTCACAGAGATCGGCCTGCCTCTGCCTCCCGAGTGCTGGGATTAAAGGCGTGTGCCACCACG